GTTAGGGAACCCAAGACAGGAGGCTGGGGAGGAAGGTCGAGGCCTTGGTGGTCACACTAAGGAGTTTGGTCTTGATCCCTGGAGAGTTGTAGGGGGTGTGGACTGAGATTTCCCATCTTGCTAGTTAAGGTTCAGAAGTCAGGTTTGGCAAAGGTGGTTAAGTGGGACATGCAAGTCGGGAGATCTTGGTTCTACCCCCAGCTCTGCTACTCACCTGCCCTTCTTTGGGCCCTCAGTTTTCCCATCTGTAAAATGGGGGTTTCCCAGCGCTCTTTAAGCTTTGTGGCCAGGATCCTATCTATTCAGATGTTATCCAGACAGAATGTAACTGCTCAGAGGGCAGGAGAGGAGAAGGCTTGAAGCCCCTACTTCCTTCCTCAGGCAGGTACTGACAGACTCCAGATGTCCTTTCATGGCCCAAGTCCTGATGACCCTTAAGAGTCCTTCCAGCACCCTCAGAACCCCCCAACACACACACACACACACACACCAGCTCAGTTTCACAACATAGCAGAGTGTCAGGAAGTGAAAATGAAGCTTTTGGGGTTTGCAAGAAAATGTTTATGAGTCTGGCATTTAGTATACTCACACTCATCTCCAGCACAGAGAAACTATAGCACACTGCCCTAGGGCTTAGCCCACCCGCCTGCTTCTTTGCAATAGGGGAGAAGATTGCCCAGTGTGAAGAAACCAATTTTTGGTTTCATCAATCTTTTGGTTTCAATTGGTTTCAATTTTCAGCAATCTTGAACTTCAACATGTCTCCTGTTTCCTGGGCCAGTGCCGTTCTGGCACCTGCCACCTTCCTAGCTCTCATGAACTTCCAGGATCACCCACCCCCACAGGTACACCAAAGACTGCTCAGAACTTGGGTGAACTTGAGTCACCAACCAGGAGAGACCTCCAAGTGAAGGAGCAGAGGGGGTAGGAGTGATGGGTGGTTGAGGGCTCCTTCCTCTTCCCTCTCTACCACTTGCCTCCTCCCTTTCCACTTTCTTCCTCTTGTCAGTCTTCTTCTTCTTCTTTTTTTTTTTTGAGACAGTCTCACTCTGTTGCCCAGGCTAGAGTGCTGTGGCATCAGCCTAGCTCACAGCAACTTCAAATTCCTGGGCTCAAGCAATCCTGCCTCAGCCTTCCAAGTAACTGGGACTACAGGCATGCGCCACCATGCCCAGCTAATTTTTTCTATATATTTTTAGTTGGCCAATTAATTTCTATTTATAGTAGAGACGGGGTCTCACTCTTGCTCAGGCTGCTCTCAAACTCCTGACCTTGAGCGATCTGCCCACCTCGGCCTCCCTGAGTGCTAGGATTACAGGCATGAGCCACCACGCCCGGCCCTCTCTTATCAGTCTTGACCTCAGTTCTTTCCCTTTGAGCTGGCCTCAGCCAGGGGCTAGAGGCCGTATGGGTCAACTTAGGTCTTTCCTGGGCTTGTAATACAAGGCCCAAAACCACGACTGCAGTCCCAGCTACTTGGGAGGCTGAGACACGAGGATTGCCTGAGCCCAGGAGTTTGAGGTTGCTGTGAGCTACGATGATGCCACTGCACTCTAGCCCAGGCAACAGAGTGGGACCCTGTCTCAAAAATAAATAAATAAATACTCTCTAAAACCTTCATTCAGAACCTACAATCCATCTACAACCTTATCTTGAATCCTAAATCTATCCCAATCTTTCTCCTTCAGCTTCTGTCCAGCTGCCCCAATCTTCTTTAACAACAACAAACCCATTTATAGAATATTTACTATGCATTCTTTTTAAATGGGTTATTATTATATTTAATCCTCCAGCAGCTCTTTTGGGAAAGGCTCAGAGAGCTGTAGTTTCTGGCCCAGGGTCTCGAGGTGGTGAGAAAACTCCGCCCAGAATTACCCAAACCCTAAGCCTGCAGTGGCCCTCGGTTTGCCTACTGCCCACGCCCATGCCGATGCTGTTTTGGCCTGTTCCCTCTCCAGAACTCATCGCCTTAGAAACTGGGGCCTGCTGTCATTAACCCGGAGACCTGTAGAAAGGAAGCAGCGCCCTCCCCCACCCTGGAGGCCCTCCCTCCTCTCTCTCCCCTACCCCGCCTCCCCGACCCCAGGTTCAAAAGCAGCTGACAGAGGACTGCACACAGCCCTGGCTCATCACTCATCACACTCATCGCCAAAGCTGCTACCAACAAAGCCACCAAGATAGTCCCAGGATGAAGGGCTTCCTCTTCCTCTTCCTCACCATCAGCCTCCTGCTTATGATTCAGGTAAGAGCAGTCTCTCAGAGCCCCTGGCACCACCACCAGGACCCCAAACCTTTGAGGCATAGCAGGGAGGAAACACAGGCTCCCAGAGACCCAGACTTCTCCCCGGGGGAGTAGAGGCAGAAAGGCCCCAATAGGGGAACCAGGGATGCAGGGGACCCGGCTGCTCAGCTTTCCAGCCCTTCTGGCTGGGGCTGGATTTCTTGAGGGCTGCCCCTGATAGAAGCCTGAATCCACAGCTGGGAGCACTTACAGGGTGCTAGGTACACCAAGGCGCCCAAGGGGTGCTGTGGGATAATAGGGAATTAGGAGCCTTGGGAAGACAGCTCTGAGTGAGAATGGCACAGACCCACAGGGAGCCTGCAGAGATGGTCCTGGAGGCTCAGGAGATGCCCAAGTGGAGCCAGCTCTGGTTCTGGAGGTGGTGGGCTCCCTTCCCTCCCCACTAGTCGCCCACTGAGAGAAGTCTGGATACTTGGAAATCCAGAACTCTCCCACTGCAGAAACAGCTGGAGTCTCAAAACCAACTGCTGTTGCAGGAGGCAGTTTCAGTAGCACCCCATGTGCCCAGGGACACTAGTCAGTGTGGGAGACAGGGGCCATCAAGTTCCTGATCAAGAACAGCTTGCTCAAGCATCAAGAACAGCTTGATCATCATCAAAAACAGCTTAATCTCCATCCAGGGCAGCTTTAGTTACAGCTTGATCAAGCATTAAGGACAGCTTGATCACCATCTGGCCATTTCCCTTCCCCCCACCCACACTTGGTCAAGTGCTGTTCACTCAGCCCCAGCTCATGTGAGCCCCACAGCTGCAATGAACTTCTCCCGATTCAGAAGATGAGGAAACTGAGCTCAGAGCCCAAGCCCCTTGCTGGGCTAGTAAGATCAAGGGCTCAGGCTCCCCTGTCTCCCTGTATGCTGGCTGGAAGGGCTGGTGGCCCAGGAGAGGAAAGGAAAGGTTCTGGGGGGGATGGCCCAGGGACCACCTTTGTCCCTCTCCTTGTCAAGGCAGGAATCAGCCAAGCATCCCGACAGGACCTTGTGGTGTAAGTCATGGTTATATGGGACAGAACTGAAGGCTGTTTTATGGAGTTGGGGCAGGGGACTGTGTCTTTAAATAACAAAAAAGAGATTCAAATGTGTTCCCTGAACGTCCCCTGCTTCTCCTCTTGCAGATACAACCTGTAGTCACAACAAATGGGACCAGCAGTAGTGATTCCAGCAATCGTGGTACCAGCAGTGGGAACGAGGTCCTGGTGTTCCGTGACATGGGCGGAGGCAGCTTCCTTTTCTTCTTGACCAACACCCTGATACACCTCTTCCACCTCAGCTGAGGTGATGTGCCCCAGCCCCCCCGAAACAGCTGCCACAGTCACTAGCAAGAGAATCCCTCCTGATCCTTGGGAGAGTCTGATGCCAGAGATCACCAGGCCGTAGAAATTGACAGGCAGGGCTGTGGGAGCAATGGCCAAACCGGGGCAATATTGATGGGGCAGGGCAGGCACCCCCCAGCCGGGGGTCAATAAAGTTATCCTCATACTTGGAATGGTGTCCTGTGTGTGGTCACTGGACATTGCTGGGGCCCAACAGCCAGGTATGCAGCAGCATCAAGGAGCTTCCCAGGCCCTGCCAGCAGGGAAGGTGACACTAGGGAGCCCACAGCCCAATGCTGAGGAGCCAGGCCCAGAACCTGGCATCCTTACCAACCCCTTCAGGTGCATTTCCTTCAGTTGGCCCTGAGTGTTTGGAAACAATGGTCCCAGAGATTCCCACTGCCCAGCCCCCAGACCTTGGACATCCCAGGACCAGAGAGCCCCTACTCCAGTACTGGGTGTGGCCAGAATGACAGATCCAGGGAGATCCTCAGTCCCAAGAATACACCCCCTTATTCTCTGGGTCCCCAGAAACCTCCCCCCACAAGCAACAGGTGGCTGGAGAAGGATGACAGGGCAGCTGTCTACTCCCCACCCGCTACCCACGGGCTGGGAAGGCAGTAAGGACAAACAGCTGCTCTAACCATTCCTAACTCTCCTGGGCTTGGGTGTGGAGTTGGGAGCTGCAGGGAGGGAAGGGCGCCCCAGAGCAGCCCCCAAGGGCCCCTCCCATCTCAGCCTCTTCCTTGAGGACCTTGGGGGACAGAGGGAGCTCCTCCTCTTCTATGTCCTGTCTTCTCTGAGCTGGGTTAGGGACCCAGCCCCCTGTCCTGGCTTCTCCGAGGCCAAACCTTTAGACCTTGAGACCAGAAGGGACAGCCCTTTGGGATGTGGCCCCCACTCAGCTCTCTTGCCTGGCACACTGAACTTCTAAGTTTTCACCCCTGGACTTGTCTGCATCCTAGAACATTTCCCCTCTGCCACCTCTAACCTGGCTAACTGCTTCCCACTTCTACATCTCAGCTGAGCACCCCTCTTCTAGGCAGGTGGTTTAGGTTCGTGCTCTGTGCTCCCCTCCACTTCTGTTCTTCCCCTGCCACAATGCACCACCCTACCTCTTGAATTCTGGACTGCGAGTTCCCTGAGAGCGGAACAGCCCAGTGCAGACCCCACCCAGGGCAAGCTCAAGGAACACAAGTCAGGGCAACTGCCCAAGACTAGCTCCGCAGGCAGTCTGGTTCCAGCGCTCCCTCTGGTGGCAGAGGGAGGCTGCACATCTGCACCCCAAAGCGGGAGCTGAGGAAAGCCTGAGTGTGAGAAGGTGGCAGGTACACAAATCTTCACCCTGCCTCCACCTTCAAATATGAAGATGCACAAAGATGAGGACACCTGGAAGCATATTAGAAAATAGCTTATGTTACAACAAAAACTCTATAAAAACATTCATCCCAGCAAACACCTCCAAGGCTGGGGGTGGGAGGCGTTCAAAGCACGTGGATGGTCCAGATTTGGGACACCCTCTCCTTGGCCGGCTCCCATAGCACCACGTGGTCCCGGTCATAGCCCCGGCCACCTGGAAGTAGATGATTAAGAGATGGGGAGATAGTCAGAACTGGGGATCCCGCTGCCTTGTGCCCCCTTGGAGACCCTCTCCCATACACACCCCACATTACCCTTCACATCCAGGATCTGGCCTTCGAACATCTGGCTGCAGATGTGGCCCGATTCATTGATGCTCCACGTCTGGCGCGGCAGGCGGCTCTCAGCCCACAGCACCACCTTGGAACCTGGGCTGGGGGGTCCGATCACCTGCAGGCTCATGGTTGGGGCCACCTGAGGCCCCAGGAGGTCATCAGGCACTACTTCCCTGACAGGGACTCCACCATACCCAAGACACCCTTGACACAGGTGGCTTTGAATCCTGGTTCTGTGGACTGAAACCCTGGGCAAGTCTCTTAACCCTTCTGAGCTTTGGTTTCCTTGGGGATGGGAGTTTCCAAAGGCTGGTTTTTGTGAGGGTTCAATGTGAGAAACCATTAAAGGACTGGAAAAATATTAACTCCTCCAGGAAGGCTTCCATCATTGACTTCCAAAGCACAGGCTTTAGCATCAGACAAACCTGCACACATTTACTGGCTGTGTGACATTCAGCAAAATACGTAATCTCTCTGTGCTCTGATTTTTTTTGATGTATAAAATGGGGAGTATAATAGGACCTGCCCTGTAGTGCTCTAGACTAAGGATTACAGGAGGCATTTGTGTGAAAGGCACCTCACACATAGTCAGTCTTCTCTCCCATTCCAAGGAAAGGACAAAACTTCTCAATGGCCTACAAAGACCTCCACTCCCCATAACCTTTCTGCCCTTATCTCCTGCTACTTCCCTCACTCACTTCACTCCAGCCACTCAGGTAGACTTGCTTGTTCCTCCCGCAGGGGCTTTGCACTTGCTGTTCCCTCTGCCTGGAATGCTGTTCCCTCAGACATCTACACAGCTGCCTCCCTCAAATGTCACCTTCTCAGCAAGGGCCCCCCTTGTCAGAGCTATCTGATACTCTCTACTCTCCTTTCTTGATTTCTCTTTCCTCTCTTGCACTTTCATCCTCTAAGATACTAAGATATTTTACTTTAAATAAGTTGTTTCTGTCTCTCCCCACTAGGACGAAAGTTTGAGGAGGGCAGGAGTCATTTCTCACTGCTATATCCCTGTCACCTAAAACAGGGCCTGGCACATAGTAGGAGCTCAGGAAATGTCTGTGGAGTGAATATATTATTGTTAATAGGATTCAAGTTCTGTCGCAGGATATCGGAGCTAGGGGGTCCCTTAGAACTGTGGTCCCGAGCCCCTGGGCCACGGCCTAGTACAGATCTGTGGCCTGCTAGGAAATGGGCCACGCATCACCGCCTGAGCTCCACACCACTCCCTCCTCACCACGACACCCCACCCCTGGTTTATGGAAAAATTGTCTTCCATGAAACTGGTCCCTGGTGCCAAAAAGGTTGGGGACTGCTGCCTTAGAAGCATCTGGTGCAATGCTCTTGTTTTACGGACTGAGGCCCAGAGAAGAGTATGACTTGCCCAGAGAATGCAGGGTACACAGGGTCCTGGCTTCTGTGTACATCTCTCTGCATCTGTGGCCCGAGGGTGCGTCCTGTTCCTGACTGGGCTGACACTCCCCAAGATGGGCCTGCAAATGCCTGGGGCCTGGGTGTCCCTGTCCTAGCCCCTACATCCGTACCTGGTTCTTCAGCAGCCCATCCTCGTAGTACCAGATGCAGCTGCCTCCAGCTCGAGGGTCAGAGACCACCACACGGCCTGCCTTCATGTCTTCCACGTGGTCTGGCACCGCCAGGAATCCCCCCAGTGCTGCATTCCAGAGGCGGAAATAAACCCGGCGCTGGTGGTGGGGAGAGGCTGAGTCAGGGGACCGCGGCAGGAATGGTCCAACCTGGGCCCCCAATATCCTCAACTCTGGACTCTCCAGTATCAAGGTCCCAAGCCCTCCTTCCTGCCTCCAAACTTTCCTTGACCCTGCTTCTAAGTCACCCCTTCTTTATATACACATAAGGAAGGCACGCGCATCATACACACACACACATACACACACACACAGTTCCATGTTCATAGACACCCACAGATGTGTGCAGAGGGACAAACTGACATGGTCCACATGGTGGCACAGAAGTTCACAGAAAACACAAACACTGGACACACGCAGCCACACAAAGTCACACATCCTAACCAATGTGTCCTAACCTCTGTGCCACGCACCTCTGTTTGCTACAAGGACAGCTGTGTGTAGGAATACAGATGTGCAACACCCATGCGGAAGGGGGCCCCACTGGGGTGGACACTGGGCTATAGACATCACAAATCAGCTGGGGGTCTTAGATGGTGGTGACAGTAATAATAATAATAATCACAGCTAATGCTTGTTGAGTGCTTACCCACCCAAGCACTGTTCTAAGGGTTTTACATATATTATTTATCTTCAGTCTTCAAAACAAACCCATGACAGATATTATCCCCATTTTAAAGATGAGGAAATGGAGGTCCAAGGAAGTATGGTACCTGCCCAAGATTGCAGAGCAAATCCTTGTCCACTTCTGTGGGCCTTTATTTCCCCATCTGTAAAATGTGAGGCGTGGAGATAACCTCCAAGATTTCTTCCAGCAATGATGTTATGAGAGTGGGAATACAGTGACTACACGAATATCCTCATACAAAGACACACACACTCTCAGCAGTGTCATGGGCGCAAACATGCACAGCCATAAATATGCTCCTACAGACACATGCACGTGCGCGCGCGCACACGTCCTTGCCAGAGCACACAGACTCTGCATGGACACAAATAATATCATGAGTGCAGAAATACCCTCCGATGGGCATATACCTGCAGGCACACATACACAGAGCCCACAGCTGTGCTGCCGCGTAAGTGCACATGTACATAAATGAGACCCATGTCCCAACGTGCAGCCACAGACAGACAGAAACACACGTGCAGACACAGTGTTTCCCCAAGTGAGTTGTGGTTACTACCAGTGGGTGGCACGTGAGATCATTTCTAGTACTATGTGGATAAACTTATTTTTGAAAATTTAATGGTAATATATTTATTATAATGTCTGCTAAGAAAAAAATCACACATACACATCAAACTCATGACTTTATGGACATTATTTCTTAGGACAAGGAGAAGGTAAAAAAAACTGAGTTGAATTAGAGAAAAATATTCAGTAGATAATGGTTCAAGAGGAATGATGATGTGGCAAAAATTGTGACGAAAGTACACAAATGCTGTGTTTGGGGAACACACAGACACACACCCAGACACACTCAACCCCAGACACGCTACTCACCTGCTTGATGGGGTAGAGGGAGCCCACCCTCTGCGTGCCGCTGTAGGTCAGCCAGTTGGTGATCTCACAGCTGCCTACCAGCCACTGGCGGCCCCGGAAGTCGCTGTGCTCACACAGCACCCAGCTGGGCCCAGCAAGTGCCAGAGACACAGGGACACAACACAGAGACAGACAGGTAGAGGAGGAGGCAGGGATGTCAGAGCATTCTCCACCTCCTCTTCTCTCATGCTGGGACCCCACTGCGTGGGATTAGGGTCCTGAGGCAGGAGGAGGAGGCTGGGAAGTAGGCTGGGGGTTTGCAGGACAAAGTAGGTCCTGAGAGGCCCACCAGCCTACACTTCCCTCCTTCCTGGCTCTGAGGGCAGGGGGCAGAAGTGGGGCTGGGGAGAGGCCAGAGGCTCTGGGATCTCCTCCCTCTACTCCTCCCAGCCAGCTTTCCCCGCATCCCAGCCTTCCCACAGCGCACTCACAAGCCCCCCTTGATCCGCACGGACAGCACGTGGTTGTTGAAGCCCTCTGCCTGCAGGCTCCGCACCTCCCTGCTGAGCTCAATCTCCTTCCCCTCGAAGCACTCAAGTCCGTACAGGAAGATGGAGGCCTCTGAAAAGTACTGGGGACCCAGGGGACAGAGGACGGTGAGGCCATGAGAGCCTGAGTCCCGACAGCCCCCCAGCCCCACACACCTGACTCCCAGATGTATACTTCCCTGCTGAGCTCTGTCCCCACAGCGCCACTGACTCCTGGGCGCTGCCAGCTATGTGTCCCAGATCCTCAAATGCAGTTATGTGCCAGACTGGACCCAGGTTTTCCCCTCAAACCTCCACTCCAGTAAATGACACTTGCAAAAACCAACAGCCAGGCTGGAAACCTGGAGCTCATTCTACATCCTCTCCTTGTCATCATCGCCAAAGCAACAATACTGGTGAAGACAGCACTTCTCATTTCTTTCTTTTTTTTTTTGAGACAGAGTCTCACTTTGTTTCCCGGGCTAGAGTGCCGTGGCGTCAGCCTAGCTCACAGCAACCTCAAACTCCTGGGCTCAAGCAATCCTGCTGCCTCAGCCTCCCGAGTAGGTGGGACTATAGGCATGCACCACCATGCCCGGCTAATTTTTTATATATATTTTTAGTTGGTCTATTAATTTCTTTCTATTTTTAGTAGAGACGGGGTCTCGCTCTTGCTCGGGCTGGTTTTGAACTCCTGACCTTGAGCGATCCTCCCACCTTGGCCTCCCAGAGCGCTAGAATTACAGGAGTGAACCACCGCACCAGCCCAGCACTTCTCATTTCTTTGGAGCTTACTATATGCCAGATTTGGTGCTAGCGCTTTTTACCTGATCTCATTATAACACTTCAACAACCCTATGAAGTAGATCCTATTATTATCACCATTGAATAGAGGGGAAACTGAGGCTTGAGAAGGTAAACTGCTTGCTCAAGCCCTAAAGCTGGGCTTCAGAACCAGTTCTGTCTTCAGAGCCCAACATACTCTTGTAAGGGGCTTGGACTCTGGAGCCAGCTGCCTGGGGACAGGCCTGGCTCTGCCTGTCACCAGCTGTGTGATCTGGAACAAATTGCCAGACCACTCTGTGCCTCAGTTTCTACAATTAGAAAAGGAGATAATAATGGTAACACACCTCGTAGGATTGTGGTGAGGATTAAAGGCCTTAGTTCATGGGAAGCCTTTTAAATGGCACCTGGTGCATGCTACGCACACTGTAAGTGTCAGTTGTTCAGACTAGGTACAGCCCACGCAGTCAGTCACCAAGTCCTATAGACGCTAGATCTTTATTTTGGCCCATGTCACTTCCATCCATCTCTTTCCAGGTCCAGAGTATCACCATCCATTCTGGGTCACTCTAGCAGCAACCCCACTGCCTGTCCCATCTGCAGCAGGGCCATCTACCTAGTTGGTCCTGTTACTCCTCCCTACAGGGGCCATCACCTGGGCAGCACTGGCCCCTGCTCCAGGGATGGGAAGGATTAACACCCGAGTGCTGATTAACACCCCTGCACTACTTTTGTATCTGGATACCCCCACTCGGTGTAATCTTTATGTCCATGTGACCATGCACTCCTTGAAGGCAGAGCTATGTCCAATTTGAGCAGTGTCTTCAGGTCCCATTTTAGTGGGTGCTCAATGGATAGTGAGTAAACTGAACTGGCTTTGAAGCCCAGAGTCAAGGAGGCCTGGGGCGGTTCTGGAAAAGACCGAATTCAACCCCCGCACAAGCTGACTAGGCAGTGAGAAGAGGGTCTGTGCTCAGGACCCCTGCAGCAACCTCTGCCTCCAGGGTTGCGTGGAACTGGACGGGGAAACTCACCAGGGGTACCTTCCGGAGAGAGCCCAGGACTGTGGAGGCCAGGCAGCCCATGGCCGTGAGAGTGGGGAACTCGCCCTCAGAGAGAATGTGCTGGTCACCCTCAAAGTTCTTCTCATCAAACAGGATCCAGCTGGGGAAGGGGAAGAAAGGAGAAGGTGAGGGGGTCTCTGAGCCTACCCCGTGCTTGGCCTGCCCAGGCTCCCTGAGATGCACAAGAATGGACACAGACTTGATCGTGTTCTCCTAGCCCAGGTGAAGTCAAGGATGAACAGGCACTGCACCAGCAGGGACTAAGGTCAGACTTTAGAAAGCACTGAATGAAATCCTACTGCCGGTATGGAGGGGAATTTGGCAATATTAAACAAAACTCTACAGGAATTACTCAGCAATCCCATATCTAGGAATCTATCCCAAGGATACCCCTCAAAAATATGAAATAACACACATCAGGCTATTCACTATAGCACTGTTTGCAATAGCTAAGAGTGGAAGCAGCCCAAATACCCACTAATAGGGAATTTGCTGAATAAGCTAAGAAATGGAATATAACATAGCAGTTAAGAGGAATGAGAAAGTGCTCTTAAAGGGATATAAATTCTCACCCCAGTTAAAATGGCTTTTATTCAAAAGACAGATAATAACAAATGCTGGCAAGGTTGTGGAGAAAGGGGAACACTTGTACAGTCTTGGTGGAAATGTAAATTAGTATAGCCACTATGGACAACAGTAGGGAGGTTTCTCAAAAAACTAAAAATAGAACTTTCATATGATCTAGCAATCCCACTCCCAGATATGTACCTAAAAGAAAGAAAATCAGTACTTCGGAGAGATAGCTGCGCTCCATGTTTACTGCAGCACTATTCACAATAGCCAAGATTTGAAATCAACCTAAGTGCCTAACAACAAATGAACAGATAAAGAAAATGTGGTGCACATACACAGTGCAATATTATTAAGCCATACATAGGAATGAAATCCTGTCATTTGCAACAACATGGATGAAAGTGGAGGCCATTATGTTAAGTGAAATAAGCCAGACACAGAAAGACAAATTTCACATGTTCTCATTCATATGTTGGAGCTAAATATTAAAACAATTGAACTCACAGAGAGTAGATAGAGAGTAGGATGATGGTTACCATAGGCTGGGATGGGTGGTAGGGGGCAGGGGGGTATAAAATGGGAATGGTTAATGGATGCAAAAATACAGTTAAGTAGAATGAATAAGATCTAGTATTTTATAGAACAGAGTGACTCAATCAACAGTAAGTTATTATATATTTTAAAATAACTAAAAGAGTGGAATTAGGGCCAGGCACGGTGGCTCACGCCTGTAATCCTAGCACTCTGGGAGGCCGAGGCGGGCAGATTGCTCGAGGTCAGGAGTTCGAAACTAGCCTGAGCAAGAGCAAGACCCCGTCTCTACTATAAATAGAAAGAAATTAATTGGCCAACTAATATATATAGAAAAAATCAGCCCAGCATGGTGGCGCATGCCTGTAGTCCCAGCTACTTGGGAGGCTGAGGCAGCAGGATTGCTTGAGCCCAGGAGTTTGAGTTTGCTGTGAGCTAGGCTGACGCCACGGCACTCACTCTAGCCTGGGCAACAAAGCGAGACTCTGTCTCAAAAAAAATAAAGAGTGGAATTAGAATGTTCCTAACACAAAGAAAGCATAAATGGTTGAGGTGGTGGATACCCCAATTACCCTGACATATAATCATTATAGATTATATGCCTTTATCAAAACATCACATGTACCCTATAAAGATACACACCTATGTGCTTGCTCTGGCAGCACATATACTAAAAATTGGAACAATACAGAGAAGATTAGCATGGCCCCTGTGCAAGCATGACACACAAATTCGTGAAACGTTTCATATATTAAAAAAAAAAAAAAGATACGCACCTATAATGTATCCATGATAATGAAAAATGAAAAAAAAATTTTTTAAGTGATCTCCAAATAATTAAATGAAAAAAACAAGACATATAACAGTGTTTACAGTACACTTCCTTAAAAGATTGAAATATAGGCTGGGCATGGTGACTCACGCCTGTAATCCCAGCACTTTGGGAGGCCGAGGCAGGAAGATTACTTTAGGCCAAGAGTTGAGAACAGCCTGAGCAAGAGTGAGACCCCATCTTTACAAAAAAAATAGAAAAATGAGTCAGGCATGGTGGCCTGTACCTGTAGTCCCAGATACTTAGGAGGCTGAGGCAGGAAGATCACTTGAACCCAGGAGTTTGAGGTTGCAGTGAGCTACGATGATGCTACTGCACTCTAGCCTGGGCAACAGAGTGAGACCCTATCTCAAAACAAAACAAAAAAGATTGAAATGTAACTCACATACCATAAAATTCACTCTTTTTTTTTTTTTGAGACAGTCTCGCTTTGTTGCCCAGGCTGGAGTGAGTGCTGTAGCGTCAGCCTCGCTCACAGCAACCTCAAACTCCTGGGCTCAAGCAATCCTCTTGCCTCAGCCTCCCGAGTAGCTGGGACTACAGGCATGCGCCACCATGCCCGGCTAGTTTTTTCTATATATATTAGTTGGCCAATTAATTTCTTTCTATTTATAGTAGAGACGGGGTCTTGCTCTTGCTCAGGCTGGTCTCGAACTCCTGACCTCGAGCAATCCGCCCGCCTCGGCCTCCCAGAGTGCTAGGATTACAGGCGTGAGCCACTATTATGAGTATATATTTGCTTATATCTTCAGAAAGAAACAATGGATAAGTAAATCAAATACTAAAAAATGATTTCTATAGGGGAGGAAGTGGAAAAAGTTTCAGAGACAGACAGGGAAGCTATTGGCTTTGGAATTGTTATAGACTGAATGTTTGTATGTTCCCAAAATCATATGTTAAAGCCCTAACACTCAAAGTAATGGTATTTAGAGATAGGGCCTTTGGGAGCCAATTAAGTTTAGATGAGGTCATGAGGGTGGGACCCACAATGGAACTAGTGTGCTTGTAAGCAGAGGAAGAGACAAGATCTCACACTCTCTCTAGTAATATGAGAACACACAGCAAGAAGGCAGCCTTCTACAATTCAGAGAGTCCTCACTGGGGAACTGAATTGGTCGTACCTTCTTAGACTTCCCACCTCCAGAACTGTGAGAAAATAAATTTCTGCTGTTTAAACCAAGCAGTCTATGGTATTTTGTTACAGCAACCTGAGCTAAGACAGGAACCACATAAATATTTCATGTAATTTAAAAAACAGAATTGAATAAAAATGAAAAATATATCTAAATATTGAAAATAAATAAAATAAATGAACCTAACCTGATAGGTTGGTGACATAACCATACATAACAAAGTATGGTCTCAAATGTCTTTAAAGCATAGTATTTTGACCTATACATACCTAATGGGATATAGGGAATGCCCTGAGGACAAAAAGATCCACAAGAAACCTCAAACTGCATTCAGTGGTTTTTAGTGTTAGTGGTAATATTGGTATTATATTAATAATTTTGAGACACCTAGCATGCATATTTTGATCTTTAAATATCATTTCCCACTGAAAGGAATCAGGGTTCCTTGGTAAATGGCTAATTCCAGGTTTGGGGCAAAAAATGTACAAAATTATCTTTGTCATCTTATTGTACCAAGGAAGTTATCAAAACTACTGGGGTCGGCTGGGCGTGGTGGCTCATGTCTGTAATCCTAGCACTCCGGGAGGCCGAGGGGGGCGGATTGCTCAAGGTTAGGAGTTCAAAACCAGCCTGAGCAAAAGTGAGACCCGTCTCTACTATAAATAGAAAGAAATTAATTGGCCAACTAATATATATAGAAAAAATTAGCCGGGCATGGTGGCACATGCCTACAGTCCCAGCTACTCAGGAGGCTGAGGCAGGAGGATTGCTTGAGCCCAGGAGTTTGAGGTTCCTATAAGCTAGGCTGATGCCATGGCACTCATTCTAGACTGGGCAACAAAGCAAGACTCTGTCTCAAAAAACAAACAAAGAAACAAACAAAAAACTACTGGGGTCATATCAAAGGACCAGAGGCAGTTTGAAGGAGCTCCCATTGGTCAAAGATGGAATAATTTGAGCATACGAAAAAATAGTAACTGCAATGGATTGAAGCATATCAAATATATAAAAATCCATGAGTTCATAACAATACTTTAAAAATATTATCATTGGTCAGCTTTGGAGGTTGCTGGAGCATCAATTCAGAAATTATTCTGGAAATTGAGAGAAAGTATCAAATATAATCCTTGAGAAAGGATCAAACTACCTTTTCTATGTAAACTATTTCAGGTAACCGAATAGTTAAAAGGGGAATGTTCATCATTATTGAAGCATTCTAGACAATATGTGTCGAAGGAATAACAAAAATTAGAAAATCATTCTGTAACCTCTAAAGAAATGATGGATCTATGCAATTATCATCAATGGATGCTAAAACTATTAGATAAAAGATAAATGGGGAATCTTATAATGTTGGGACCTTAATATTATTAAAAATAGGGGCAAAGCAGCATCCTCCTGTAGTCTCAGCTACTAGGTAGGCAGAGGCAGGAGGATCATTTGAGTCCAGGAATTCAAGGCTGCAGTGCACTATGATCAGTGAATAACCACTGCACTCCAGCCTGGGCAACATAGCAAGATCCCATCTCTAAAAAAATTAAAAAATAAAAAAGTAAGACAACCAGACGCCTCCCATGTGCCTCCTGATGTGATGCAATGGGAAGTATATAACACCACCTATGTAGTTTTATTGCCAAAAAACAAAACAAAACACCCTGAATCTAATCAAGCCTCTACATCTAACAAGCAGTTTACAAGAAATATGGAAGACAGAGTAACAAGGTAAAAGATAGTACCACGAAGCAATTAGCTAAATATAAAATATGGGAAACTTACAGGGCAAATTATTGGGTTTCTTCAAACAAATAAATGGTATAAAACAAGAAAGGAAGGGGAACTGTTATAGATTAGAGACTAAATCTACCAAATGCAATGTGTGGGCCTTATTTGGATACTGAGAAAAACAAACTAATTTAACCAAGGCATTTTTGAGACAATGGAAGAAATTTGACTTGGTATGAGGTAGTAACTAACAAATTAACGTTAATTTTATTAGATGTAATAATGACTTGTGGCTATGTGGGGGTGGGGTAGTCCTTTCTTATTAGAGATATATATTGAAGTATTTACCCATGAAATTTTATGTTATGTCAGAGATTTAAAATACCCCACTTAAAAAAAAAGCAGATGGACAGATGAAACAAGATTGGGATTACTTATATTACACTATCTACAGTTTTACATTTTCCATGAAAACTTTATTTTTGTTCGTTTTAAATTTGAATGGCTTGGGGTGGAACAGCTAATATCAAGGAAGCCTAAGAAAGGAAATCATTTGAAAGAATCTCTTCCTGCAGCCCGGATTCCCAAACTGAGTTAAGCGCTTCCTGGCAGATCCGTCCCGCCCCCCTCGAACCTGAGAGCACACCCCGCCCTCCGCCCTCCGCCCCTCCGCCCCTCCGCGTCTCACCTGCCGCCCTGGACACGGCAGGACTGGGGGTGGAAGGAGGCGGGCAGAGAGGCCTGGTCATCCTCGAAGGAGATGTGGTCGCCCAGGAAGTCGGGGCCGGAGAAAAGCTGAATCTGGAAGCAGAAGGGAGGAGATGCGGGTGGCGGAGGGCGACGGAGTGGGACGGAGGTGGTGAAGGCCGGGAGAAGCTGGTAGGGTGCGCCCCCACCAGCTCGCTGCAGAGTCCCCTCCTTACCTTCGAGACAAAGTGCACTTCGTGCTCCCCGACCTGAGGAGAGACCAAAGTTCCGAGACTTAAAGAGAGCGCCAGACCCCACCCCAGTTCCTCCAGGTTTCAGCGTTGCCCCCTCGTCCCCGCCCCTTCCCGGGGCCCCGCCCCTTCTGCGGGGGGCGGACCCGACTCCAAACCCCGCCCCTCGCTGGAGCCCCGCCCACCGCGGCCCGCACGCACCTGCAAGACCGGCTGCAGCGAGGCGAGGGCGCTGTTGCCCGCGCCCCAGTCCTCGCAGTTTCGGTACACGCCCTTCTCCAGGACGAACTGTTCCCCCGAGAAGCCCACCTCCTGGTAGGCCACCCACCTGCGGGAAGGGCGGGGCATGGGTCGGCGGAGGCGGAACCCGCACCGCTCCTGGAACCGCCCCCGGCCCGCCCCTGTCCGCCCAGCTCCCGCGGCCTGCGTCACTCACACGCCGCTGAGTACGTGGATGGCCTGCGTGCGGGGTCCGTGTCGCACCAGCTCCACGTCCGGCAACGCCTTGCTCACCTCCACACCGTGCCCCTCGAAGTCTGTGGCCTCAAACAGCAGCACGGCCGGGTCCCCGAAGTCCTGGGCCCCAGGGACAGTCAGGTCTCTCCCGCCCGGGGACAGAAAGGTCTCTCCCGCCCGGGGACAGAAACCCCTGAGAGTGCCCAGACCCCAGGGTCGCAGCCCACCCGGGGAATTAGGGGTGAGGCTGTCAGTGTAGCCTGGAGAAGAGCAGCAAGAGGGAGAGAGGCTAGACTTCAGGGAGCACTTCCAGTAAGGATAGGAAGGGGGCTCCAAATTCTTCCCTCCACAAATTGTAGTGGGGGAATCTGGCTGTGGCCAGAGGCAGAGGGATGGCCCAGTTGCCCTTGCTTACCGTCCGGATAACCCGCAGGGAGGTCAGCAACTCATCATAGCCTCCCCAGTGTGTCCAGTCAGGGTATTCTCCCTCTTCCAGCAGATACTGGTGGCCCCGGAAGCCCTCCTTCTCGTAGCCCACCCAGCTGGGGGAAGGGAGGATAGACAGGCAGATTCAGTCACAGGAAGCCCATGGATGGCTAAGACAGCTGCCCCCACCCCCAGGTAGCTCCCCACCCACAAGGGTAAAGGCCAGTGGGGGAGATGATGTAGAAGGGTCCTGAGTCCTCACCAGCCCCCAAGAACTCGCAGGGACCCCACAGAGATCAGGTGAGGGCTCTGGCTGTCCTCTGGCTGCTGAAGGTTGTAGATGTCTCTGCTCACTTCCCAGCTGCGACCCTGAAAGCCTGGGGCCTCATACACCACAGCCTGTGGGGAAGGGGTGTCAGTATAGTGGGGAGTCATCTGGACCCAAGCACACCCAGCCAGCCCAGGAAGGGCTCTGCCCAGCACCAGCCAAGAGCACCCCACCCCCAGCCCACACCCCCTCACTGAGCCCCATCCCCTTACCTAACTTCTGTCTCTACTCTGACCTCTGACCTGGTCCTTACATATCAAAAGTTCTCAGTGAGCCCCTCAGGCTTCATCTCCCCAGACCAGCCTTCTGGCCCCCAGTGCCCTCTTCTCTGGTTTTTCAGTCCAGGCCATTCTAGCCACACACTCCTCCCCCAGCACCAAAGGCCCCCTTTGACCTTGAAGCCCAGACCCTTACCTTGGGCTCCCCTGGCTTCTCCACACTTGGGCAGCCCTGCAGAGGACACAGAAATGTGATGCCAGCCCAGAGGGGAGGAAAGATGGGGCTGGGGACCTATGATCTTCTTGATCCTGAGACCCCCATGCCTTCCCTCTCCCCAACCCCTTGGGCTAATCCTCCCTCTCCTCCTACCACCCTTCCCAGGAGGAGCTCCCAGGGGGTGGTCCCAAAGGGGTGCTGTGTTATACTTCATCCCCCCTTGCCCGCAGACTGTGGGACCATGCTACTCAGGACCAGGGGCGGAGCCTGGACCTACCCGCCTGTGGGTGGGCCCTGCTCTTTACCAATCTCATGGGCTCCAGGGAGCCCACACTGGGCTCCGTTGTGCCCCAGGCCTCTGAGGTGGGGTACTCTCCAGGCTCCAGGATGTAGGGGGTGTCTTCGAAGAATGGTTTGGGGTACAGCAGCCACCTGGGGGAAGGCAGAGAGGCTGCTGCACTCCAGACCCCAAGGGACAGATTGGTGGAAGGGAGGGAAGGTTTAGAGGGGAGGAGGTTTGCAGGGGAGGGGCCCATCACGGGGACTCTGGAGGACACCTCAATCCTCTGTAATCTCTTGCGGTAGCCACTCCATTGGTCTCCCTTCCTCTGGCCTTGCCCTCTCTAATTGCACACAGTACCTGAGAGTTCTTTCTAGCACACCTACCTGCTTAAAACCCCGAGTAGTTCCCTCTTAGCCTTAGAAGTTCCCTCTTAGCCTTAGAAGACAGCCCAACTGCACAGAGGCCCTGCCTGGCCCTTTCCTTCCTCCTGGGCCTCATCTCTCCCCACTTGTTACTTGCACTGGTAAGGCTGAAATTCTGAAGCTTAGATGGCTCACCTCTGGGCCTTCGCACGTGCTATTCCCTCTGCCAGATATGCTCTTTTCCCCATTCATTCAATTAACAAATATTCAGGGGACTCTACACTGCCAGACCCTGCTTCAGCCATCAGGGATACAGTAGTGAATAGAACATACTAAATCCCTGTCCTCGTGGAGCTTACATTCTCGGGCAGCTTAACCCAGCTGAGGTGTCTCCTCTTCCAAAAAGGTTTCTCTGACTCCCACACCCTGCCCTCTCCCCCCCGTGGTTGGTGAAGGGGACCCTGCTTCTGTATTCCAGAACTCTGGATCGCTATTGCCTGTTTATTTGCCTGTCCCCACCAGTAGGCTGAGCACTTTTGAAGGCAGGAGCTGTGTCCTGTCACCTCTGTGTCCCTAGCACCCAGCACAATGAATGTCAAAGGAAGGATTCCAGAACAGCCCAGACTCACAGTCCTGCAGAGACAGTGGCAGACGCCACCTTCAGGGGCTTCTCCAGGCCCTGGGCGTCCTTCAAGGCCTCTGTTAGCTTCACCTGTTCGCCCTGGAGGCCCTCCTCAGAGAACAGGCTGATCTCCGGGATGCCATAGTCCTGCAGGAGCGGAGAGGAACGAAGTATAAAACAGCACCTGTTGGAGACTGCCTCTGCTCCCCAAGTCTGTCTAGTCAAGGCTCCAGGGGGTTTCTGGGTAAACCTTTGTGGTTGTCTCTTCAGAAACCAGGAGAGTGACTGGGTGTTCTCTGCAAGGTCAGCCAGCCAAGCCTGAGACCAAAGCCCTTGCTGGTCCCTTGCTAGACCTTTGGGAAGATTCCAGACCAAAGTTCCCAGGTGAACCTGCAAAGCGCCATGCCCATCCCCTTGCCTCTGGGCAGCCTGACTTCCAGCCTGATGAGGCCATGGGTAAGATGGACAGCCACTTCCTGAGGTCCACTTCTGACCCTTCCTTTGGGTACAATTCCTGCCTCTATCTGGACTGGCTTTGCCTACACCTCATCCCAGGAAGCAGAAGGTCCTCTGCATTCTGGGTGTTTCTTCCTCACCAGGACTATTTTCACTCATTCATCAAAGGTTTATGAAGCATCTACTGAGTGCAAGGCACTGTCCTATCCCATCTCCTTTAATCCTGCCCATGGGTGTTACTAAGTGAGGCTCAGCGAAGTTAAGCAACCTGCCCAAGGTCACACAGCTTGTAAGTAGCAGAACCAAACACAGAGTAGTTTCTCTTTCACTGTAGCAACCCAGCACCTCCCACGTACTAGGCACACAACAGGTGCCCAATCAATGCTGAATGGATCAAATGAATTCCAGACCATCTGACTTCAAAGCCTTGTTTTTCTCTTGTAGCTCGTTACCTCCCACATGAAGATGAATTTATTGTGAGAAGCTCACAATTAACTGTCCACAAACATTCGTGTGTTTCTGGAGAGGCTTTGAAAACTCCTGTCCTACTGGGCCATTGCCCTACTTAAGGCTAATCAGCTCTTGTCATCTCTTAACTAGGAAGATTGCAACAGCTCTGGACTCAGTTATTCATTAAAAGCAAAAAACAAACCAAAAATACTCCAAATGTCTGATAGACCCTGCTTTTAGAGTCACTCTTCTTCCTTCTGGGTCTCCCCAGTGGTGGGGATGGTTTTGTCAAGCTTAATTTCGAAAGTTTGTAAATCTGTGCTGTCAAAACAATGTTGCTGGTTTTTTCACTTTAAAAATATGAAATTATCATCTTGACTTTTGAAACCACACACCCTTCCCTCAAAAATCAGAGGTGCTCCCGGCTGGAAATCACAGCCCTTCCCTGTCTCCCTGCCTCCAGGATCCCAGTCTTTTCTCCGCCTGGCAGCCAGAGGGATGTCCATAAATCCTCTACCTGGTTAGATGGCATCCCAGCTTCAGATCCAACCCTCATAGCCCAGCTTGCCTGTAAGTCCTGCAGGGCAGAGCAGATCTCACCCTGCTCATTGCCTGGCACAGTGCCTGGCATGCAGTAGACATGAGTGAGCATCCGTGAGCAAACGAATGAACAGACATGCACGGCATGTGGGGTCTAGCTGTGGGCCTAAGAGCTGGCCCCTGGGTGGCAGGTGACTACTGCACATTCTTTCTTGCCCCGTCTCTGCTGCTCTCACCTTGTCCTGCTCCAGCACCAGCTCAAACTTCCCCAGGCTGCTTCCCTAAGTGGGGCTTGGCCTCTGCCTGGCTTCCCAAGCCAGGCTGCACGCTGCTCAGAAGCCCTTGCTCCCCCAGTCAGTTCCAAGGTCAGTCAGGAATCTACAGGTCAGTCCATAGTAAGCCCCCTGCCCCCACTCCATATGATCTCTCCCAGAGATTCCAACTCTAGGCACTCAAAGCTGTGTGCACCTTCCAGCACACTCACCCGGACCACCCTCCTTAGGGAGCCAAAGCCTTGCGTGCCCCACGTTGGCCCCGGGGCTCTGAGTTCCACGTCTCCTTCAGGCAGGACCATCTTCCGGCCCCGGAACTCCGGCTCTTCGTACAGCACCCAGCTGTGGACACAGAAACCCCAGCTCACAGGTGAGGAGGAGGATGTGCCAGGGTCTCTGGGGAGCTGATGGGGTTTCTGCCAGGCTGGCCTGGCCACTCCTCACTGCCCTCCGCACCCCCAGCTTCACAGCCAGGATGCCCACTGGGCACTCCCCACTCACCAGCCTCGCACCACCCGTATGGAGGCTACGTGAGCCCAGCCCGTGGCGTCAGCAACGTCTTCCCAGACCTCCCTGCTGCCGCCTTGGCAGCCAGGCTCGGAGAAGAGGATCACCTGAGAAGGCACAAAAGGGGTCTCAGGCCCACCCCAGGCCCCCACCTTCTGCTGCCCTCACCCACTCGGCCCCACGCCCCTACCTTTCCAGGCCTGGTGTTCAGCTTGCCCTGGGTCTTTAAGGCTGGGCTCTGAAACGAAGGGGTTGGCAAGAAGTCTTATGGAGTCACCTCTTTGCTGTCTCCCCAAACCCTGCCATTCTGAGGACCCCACATCCTCCCTAAGGTGTGGCCCACAGAGGATACCACTCTTGTCCCCAACCCCCAGGGGCCTCATCACCCTGTCCCAGGAGCTGGGCATTCATCACTCCCCTCCCCCAGCTTCCAGGATATCGGAGCCACCAAGCCCTTTGGAATCCTCAGGGCAAACCTCCCGCTGTCTGGATAGGGAGACTGAGGCCCAGAAGGATGGGGCCTGCACAGCCTCCTGCCCCAGAGACCCTGACTCTCACCCAGCACCATTCTCACACCACCCAGACCCTCCCTGGCCCACCCGAGGCCTCACTCACCCACCCCTCTGGGGACTGGGAATATGCGGGCCTCTCTGGCGGTGGCCTTTCACTGCAGAGCAGGGGCAACTGTCCTGGCACCTTCCTGAGCCCTGGTGCTCCATGGGGTGGCAGAGCAGATAGCTTTGTGCCCAGTGGTTCTGGGGCAGGGGCCTCCTTGGTGGCAGGCACCAGACTGCCAAAAAGAAGGCTGCCTCCGAGACGGGAAGTGGGCCTGCTGCCTGCCTGCAGCTCCAGCCCCAGCTCTGGGTGGGGGCCCTTGGCACCTGCTACGTGCTTCTTCATCATCTCCAGAGGCGAGCAAGAGGCCTGGCTGGGCCTGGCGGGGCGCAGGTCCCAGGAGGGGCTGGGCCCAGCCTTCTCCTGCCTGCGCTGGAGCTTCTCGTCATCACTCAGGTAGGGGTTCTCCGGCTCTTCCTCCTCTTCCTCCTCCTCCTTCTCTTCCAGTGCAGGCACCTCCTGGGGCCCGGGGCCCAGCACCCAAGGCCCAGGCTGGTCCTCCTCTATGGCAGGCAGCGTGGCGTACATGGCCAGGTAGGAGGAGCGCGGGGCTCGTGGCAGCCGGTGGGTGCGGAGGATCTCAGGGGGCTCCATGCTCCGCAGGGTATCCAGGAAAATCTCTAGGTCAGCATCCAGGGCCACCTCATCCTCCTCCCTCGATGGCTCTGGACACATCTTGCCCTCAGTGGGGTCAGGCACAAGCTGGGGCTCCATGCTGGCCTCTGCTTCTGTGGCCACTGGGGCAGGGGTGTCTCCTGGGCTGGGGTACACTTTGTCCACTGAGGAGGATGGGGCAGGGAGAACAGGAGGGTCCTGGAAAACCACTTTCTGGGTGGAAAATGGGGCAGCAGAAGCACCTGAGCCCTGGAAAACCTCTTTTTGGGAGGGAGGTGAGATGGAACTCCCTTCAGAACCCTGGGCAACCTTATCCTGTTTGGAGATCAGGGGAGCAGGAGCAGCTGGGCCTTGGACTGTCTCTTCCTCGGTGAGGGAAGGGGCAAAGCTGCCTGCAATACCCTGGACAACCTCTTTTTGGATACTAGGGCTGCCTTCGGAGCCCTGGACAACCTTGGTTGAGAGGGATGAGGCAGCAAGAGCACCAGGGCCTTGCACTACCTCTTTCCGGGTAGGGGAGAAGACAGGGACATTTTTAGAGTCCTGAAAAAATTTATTCCTTGGGGAGGATGGAGCAGAAAGACCTCCTGGGCTGGGGACAGCCTCCCTTCTTGTAGAGGATGGAGTCAGAGGTTGTCCAGGGACTTTCACACCTTCGCTCTTTACCATGGGCAGGACAGTGGCAGCAGGGGGCTTCGTGAGCCCTTCCCTTTTTAAAGGGGGAAGGACATGGGGAGTGAGCTGGGCCCTGGGGTGAGTGGGCACCACAGGCTGCTCTGGGGGGTGGGCTGGGTCCATGGAAAGGGCATGGGTCTGGAGTCTGGGAGAGGAGGGGACTGGTGTTTGGCCCTGAGAAGCCTGGAGAGGGAGCTGGGTGGGGCTGGAGGCTGTCTGCACCCTTGGGTGCTCATAGGTCCTGGCATCCAGGGTTTTGCCCTGGGCTTGGTCTGGGTGGGCTATAGGGACATCCTGGTTCTGAAGTGGGTGACCATCTGCTGGGATGCCTGTAGGGGCCAGGGTAGAAGTGTCCTTTAATTCCGCTGTCTCTGTCTCTGATGGCTGCCTCAGGGCTACCCCTGCTGTGCTGCCCAGGCCCGAGGTCCTTGGCACGGAAGCCACAGGCCTAGGCAGGTGGCTGGCAGGTGGGTTGTGCTCAGCAGGCACGAGGCTGGTTAGCAATTCCAGGGCCTGGCTGTGGCTGGGCGAGCCCTCGGCCCGGGGGCTCACCACCACTGCCCTCACCGTGCGGGCAACGTTGCGGCCCCTTGGCAGGGCCTCACCCGGAAGTGACGGTCCCACAGTCACAGAGCTGCTCACCCGCTTGTCCACGTGCCCTCCCACCATCGTGGTGGTCCGCACTGTGCGTGTCACCCGCCGTTCCTCGAGGCTCCAGGAGCTCCCACTAGTGAGACCCACACCTGGGTGAGGGCTTGGCTCTCGGGGCCCAGGCAGGGGCACTAAGAACTCAGTCCTGGCCATGGCTCCCAAGCCTGGGGGCTCAGTACTGGGAGGCTGGGTGCTGCCATCGCCCTGGTCCATGGCCTCCTTCTGCCTCCTCACTGGCCTTTTCTCCTTGGGGGGTGGCGTGTACTTCTTGGAAAAGATGGGCCCATGGCTCTGGAAGTTCTTGGAGCCAGCCCCATCCCGAGGGCCTTGGCAACTCACAGTCTCTTCTTCCCGTGTAGCAAAGCCATTGACTTCTCCACGATGGTGGCTGTGCTCAAACATCTCCTCCCGGGGGGCTTCCATCTGGGCCCCTGATACCAGGGACACCTTGTGAAAACGGTGTCTGATCTCTTCCTGGGCAGGGGGCCGCTGCCGCCACGTCAGTATGGCACTTACCACTCGCGCCTCAGCCCGGGCCGGGGGCCCACCTGCCTCCTCCATGTTGGGCCCTGGTGATCTGTCCTGTGGTCTCCTTGTCTCACTGTGGTCCAGCTCCCTGCAGATGGTGCCAGGAAGAAGAGAGATAAGGGTCAAAGGGTGGCGAGAATGGTTTCCCAAGTGCAGGGTCCTTCAAAGGGTGAAGCTGAAGCCTGCGCCTGAAAGGAGAGCGAAGGAAGGAGAAAGGAAGGGGCATCTGGCCCACTGGTTGTGGAGGGGCTGGGACTGTGCCCGAGGAGTCCTGGGTCTAGTTCTCCAGGAGCTGAAAACCGAGAAACTGGAAAGCCAAAAACTGGGCAAGTGTCTTTCTAACCCCATTCCTGACCATTAAAAGGGAAGAAAGGAAAGATGGCCTTTAGCCCCAAGCAGAGCTGGGGTCCCCCGGGCCTGTCGCTCTCTAGCTGGGTGACCTTGGGCAGGCCACTTCTCCACTTTGAGCCTCAGGGTCCTCTGCCGCAAACCTGATGTAATGACTGACTGCTTCACAGGGTCATGCCAGGTAAGAGAGTAAGAATGAAAAGTGACTTTATAAACTAAAACCCTGGCTCATAAACTTCTTGCTGTCACCTTGGAGATTTGTGACCAAATTTTAGCAGTGTGCACACGTGTATACTAGCATGAGCATGTGGTGATGACAATCAGAGCGTGGGGCATATGTGTGTAGACACAAGTCTGTGTGCATGTGTGTGTAGATCTAACAGAGCCCCTCAGGACACGGCACTTTCGGCCTTACAAATGCACTTTCCCCTCAGTTCTCTTCTCTGATGTTATTTTCCCCATGGAACAGATGAAGAAACTGAGGGTCAGAGAAGAGGAGTGACGAGCTCAGGATGATGCAGCTATGCAGTTGCCAGGGTAGGGTTTGAATTCGTGTCTTCTAAGTTCACATCCAGGCATCCTCCCTCCTACCCCCTAGGCCAAGGTTCTGGGCACATCTTGCTATTCCTGACCATCAGTAAAGCACATCTCTCCCTCACTCCTGGAGGGGCAAGGCCTGGGTCTTATTTTTTTCTGACCCCTCCCTTGATCTCTTTTCTTTATTTTCTTTCTTTTTTTTTTTTTTTTTGTTTTGAGACAGAGTCTCACTTTGTTGCCCAGCCTAGAGTGAGTGCCGTGGCGTCAGCCTAGCTCACAGCAACCTCAAACTCCTGGGCTCGAGCAATCCTACTGCCTCAGCCTCCAGCGTAGCTGGGACTACAGGCATGTACCACCATGCCAGGCTAATTTTATATATATATATTTTTAGTTGGTCAATTAATTTCTATTTTTAGTAGAGATGGGGTCTCGCTCAGGCTGGTTTTGAACTCCTGACCTCAACCAATCCACCCGCCTCGGCCTCCCAGAGTGCTAGTATTGATTACAGGCGTGAGCCACCACACCCGGCCTCCTGCTTTGGTTTGAATATCTGTCCCTCCAAAACTCATGTTGAAATTTAATCCCCAATGTGGCAGTACTGAGAGGTGGGGCCTTTAAGAGGCCATTGGGTTATGAGGACTCTGCCCTCATGAATCCATTAATCTACTCGTGGATTAATGGATTAGTGAGTTAATATGATTGTGGGAGTGGCTTTAGAAGAAGGGAAAGGGAGACCTGAGCTAGCACTGCAGCCCCCTTGCCCTGTGTTGCCCTGCACCACCTCAGGACTCTGCAGAGACCTGCCAGCAAGAAGGCCCTCACCAGATGCGCCCTCTTGACCTTGGACTTCCCAGCCTCCAGAACTGGAAGAAATAAATTCTGTTGCTTATAAATTATCCAGTTTCAGGTATTCTGTTATTAGCAACAGGAAACAGACTGAGACAACTCCCTAGGAACTCTCTGGTAAATTTCTCTGTTTTAATCGTTGCAAACAACAACAGCCATTTATTGAGAGTTTACTCTGCCAAACACCTTGCTAGGTGCTTTATGTTCATTGTCCTGTTGAATTCTCAGAAGAATCCCATGACCTTGGGACCTCATGCAGAATAAATTATTAACACATTATAAATAAACATTTCCATTTTGCAGATGAGATTTTAAAAATGATCAGAGAGGTTAAGAAATTTGCCCAGTCACACAGTAGCAGAGTCAAGACTTGAACCTCAAAATTAGCTGGGCATGGTGGGGCATGCCTGTAGTCCCAGCTACTTGGGAGGCTGAGGCAGGAGGATTGCTTGAACCCAGGAGTTTGAGCTCTGAGCTAGGCTGACGCCACGGCACTCTAGCCCGGGCAACAGAGTGAGAATCTGTCTCAAAGAAAAAAAAAAAAAAAAGACTTGAACCCCAACCCTTCCAAACACCTTAATGTATTTATCTGATAAACTGAGTCTCTTTGGTTTGCAAGTTTACTTTTAAAGGAGGCCACATCAGTCCTGGAGGAGCTGTCCATCCTCACTCCAGACTGCATTGACCAGGGCAATCCTATTCTCAGACCTCAAGGACCCCAGAGAGATCAGCCTGTTCAGTCCCAGTCTCACTGCTGGCCTGTCTTCAGCTCTGTTCCTCTTTTCCATGAGGCAGCCCCCAAAGACCCCACCCTGAGCCAGAAATGGACCCACTGCCACAACTCCCCTCCCCCATCTCCATCTCCCTCCCTCCCGAGGAGCTGGTGGAATCCAGAACTTTGACCCTACCCTATGGCCCAGCCATGACTCAGGTTTTATGAGGGGCAGAGATGAAAAGAACTGAGGCCCAGGGAAGCTGACCTGATTCCCAGACCACTGGTGGCTATGACAGCATCTGGGACAGGTCTGGGGGGCCCTGGAAGGTCGGGGCTTAGATGGCTTCCCATTCCCCCAGGCCAGAGCTTCCTGAGAGCAAGGCATAGCCAGATACCCAAGGCCCTGGATTTTAGCCCTTCACTGAGCCCCAAACCCCCTCTCCTGACCTCATTAAGGACGGAGCTCCCCTTTCCCAATGGAACCCCCATCCTCACTGGGACTCCCCCACATGGAGCCTGACCCCTTTGCAGAGCCCCCCAAGTCCCTGTCCTCCCACGGAGTCTCTCTCCATTTCTGAATAATAGTAACAACCACCTATGCTTCTCTGAGACTCCTTGTCCCTGATGGTGCTGATAGTAACTCATTCATTCATTCACTCATTCAGTGCTAATTATGTCAGGTGATGTGCTAGATCCTGGTTAAACTCATCCAAAGCCAACTTTCTCATGAAGGTGGTATACTAGGAGTCCAGAGATCTGAGAATTTGATGTAAAAGCAGGAACAACATTTGGAAGGCCCAGTCAGCTTTGGCAAGGCAACAAGGAGAGCGGCTTTAAAGGAAGCCGTCCATGATCAGATCAGATATTGTCAATGACCTTCCAACAATCAGAATTCAGTGCCTTTCCCAACCCAACCCAAACCCTGGACAACACCCCTGACAGTCACTCATTCCACAAGCATGTGGTCATTGGCTTCTGCTCGCATACCTCTAGGACCAGGGAGGTCACCATTTGACAGTTCACCAGCCCCATCCCTAGACAGTCATGACTGCTAGAATGTTCTTCAAACTATGTTGGAATGTGCCTGCCTATAGCTCCCCCCTTTTGTCCTTGCTCTGAAGACATACCCCAATGACCCAGGCTGCCTCTCCTGGGCCAGCAGAAGGACTGGTTCCCAGAGCCCATTCTTCTCCGGGGCCCCAGACCAGAAGTGGATTTGTTGGCAGGGTGACCTGTGAACTCCAAGCAAGGTGTGTGGAGCTGAGAAGGGAGAGGCTGAGTAGGGGGCGGGGGGAGTGTGGGAAAGAGCCTTGTGCAACCCAACAAGCTCTGGATTCTCCCGCCTTACCTGTGAGTCACCCCCAAACTAGGCCAAACCAGTCCACAGGCCCACATGCCAGCAAACACATGCTGCGTCACACAGGCACACGCACCGACTCAGACAGACACTGACGCAGACCCACAGAATTACACAGGCACAAAAATACACCCAGAAGCCTTCATGAACACACAAAATCAGAGACACACGCAAATGCACACACACTCACCAACAAACACAAACACACAGTCACAGAGCTACAAACACAGATGCTCAGAGATACAACAGATATAGAAGTCACATATACGCACAGAGAAACACACAGACACAATGACACACATGTGCACACAGTCAATTTCACAGCCACAAGCTCTCCTCCCGCTAAAATTCACCCACACTTGAACATGGACACACACTTGGATGTGCACATATCTTACACGTTCCCACTTGCAGCCCCAGCTGTGTCTTGCCCCCACTCCACATTTGCTAATTGTGGCCCAGAGATCCCTCCCCCACATAAAAAAATAATGTTCCTAGAAGTTAAGTCACCTGCCTCCCTCTCTAAGTGAGCCCTGGCCTCCCACCGGAGTCTGACTTAACCTTTCTGAACCTCAGTTTCCCTACTGTAATTAGGTTGAGGGCCCCGGGATTCATGGGGCTGTTGTGGGGATTAAATAAAGTCATGCTTAGAAAACAAACTGTGACAGCCACCCCGTCATCCTTAGAAGCCTTCAAAGCCCCACTCGAAGCCGTGCCCCGCAGGGTCGTCCCACAGAAGTCCCACATTCACCCCTCCTCAGTGAGTTTTGGGGGACCTATCCTTCTACCTCTGAACCCACCAGATTTAGGAGAGTCATTTGTACACAAATAAAAACCCAGGGCTTAAGAATCCCGACGCCTGTTCCTGTGGCTGCCAGTGCAGAGCCAGGTGGGGTAATTATTGCTGCCACTGAGACGTAATTAATAAGCATCCCTGCTATTTTGGCAGCTCAACTCTCTAGAGTTCAAAGCATGTTCCTGTAACCACCTCCTCCTTCCTCATCTCTAGCTACCAAATCCAACTCAAAGCCCAGAGAGGTTAAGCAACTTGCCCCAGGACACCCAGCAACTTGCCTATTCCCAGGCTGGGTCTGTGGCCTCCCGAACGGAACTGGGGAGTGGTGGGTGTTACTGAGAAGAAGGTGACCCCCACCTGCCCATCGTCTCTGTGACAGGCTTTCCCCTTCCTTGGGAGGGCAAGGGAGAGCAGCAGGGGTTTCAGGAGGTAGCCTGTGGCTGAAGGGAGGAGAGGAGGCGGGAGGGTTGGCAGAGTCCCCTCATGCTCAGGGTGCTGAATGAATGGGCCTTGAGTTGGAGAAGCCTAGGGAACAGGCAGAGGCCCAAGAGGCCAGTCTCCCCTCCACCATCTCCCCACACGGGGACCGACCCCCACTCACCGTCTGCGTAGGGACCCAGGTGGCCGGCCAGCCCGGAGCTCCTGCCGCTGGGCTACGCTGCCCTGATGCCGTTGGGCTCTCAGCCGGGGCTCCCAGGGCTGGGCAGTCAGACACCCCGTGATGGGGCGTGGCCCCTGGAGAGGCTCCCGCCAGCCCCTGGATTCCTCAGGGCCGCAGGGGTGTGGAGCTGGTTGGGCCGGTTCCTCACCCTCCTCCCCAGGTGCCTGCCCGAGCCCCTGCAGGGTGACAGTGATGCAGTAGCGGGTCCTCCTGGTCGAGGGACGCTGCGTGTGTAGGGTCTGAGCTGGCTCCGGTGGGGCTGGCCCTGGGATGCCAGGCTCGCCCTTTGCCCCCTCTGCCATGGAGAAGGAGGCTGGGCAGGGCAGCAGGGGTGTGTCTTCCAGGTTGCTGGGTGGCTCAGGCCTCAGAGGGACCTCTGGGGCTGTGTCTGGAGGTTGCTGACGGGCACAGCCTGGGAACCCCTGTTCCCAAAGTCCAGGAGCCGGCCCCGGGAAAGAGGGGTGCCTGGTACCAGCAGGCTCTGCTGAGGCCACAGCCAGTGCCAGGCTCTCAGGCCCCACGAAGGCATGGCTGGCCAGGTCAGAGGTGCTGCCCACAGCTGGCCTCTGTAGGCGCCCCAGGGGCTGAGTGGGCCCACCTGAGATGCGCCTTCGCTTCCAAATCCAGAAACCACCATGGCTGCCTGCGCAGAGATCCCCTTCTGAGCTGCTCTGGGCTTGGGCCTGGGGAAAGTAGGAGCAGGCGTCAAGAGGGGCAGGGGCATGGTGACAGTGTCCCCCCGGCCCTCCAGGCACCCAGGTTTGCCCTCCTTGGCACTGCAAAGCTGAGCAGGGCTCTGACACCAAGCTGAGAGGCTGCCAAGGTCACCAGAACTGGACAAAGGGCACGACTCACCCCTTCCCATGCTGCACACAAGGAAAGTGTGGCCCAAAGAAGACAGGGACATGGCTAAGATCACACAGCAAGGCAGAGAGAGCTCCCAACTCTCAGGCGCCACACTGCCTCCAAGGTGACAAGGCACTAGGGCCTGGCCATGCCTCCCAAAGACCGGTGATCTCAGTTTCCACACAGGCCTACTGCGCTTTCCCAGGCATCCACAGGCCTCTGGCTCTTTGGCACCAGCTACCCTGGGGACTGGGGGTTACACTGGCACACCTGCCTCAAGTGCCCATGGCCTCTGCCCACTCCAGACTACCAGAGAGCCTGCAGCCACCTCCCTTGGCCCCTCCCAGCCTGACTCCCACAGCACACCTATGAGGAGGTACCTGGGCATAGAGGTATACCTGGGACATGAGGGAGCCAGGGAAGAGGGTTCCTCTGAAAGCCAGACAACACCTGACTTCTGTCTGCTCTCTCTTCCCCTGGGGGCTCAGCCTGGCTGTGCAGATGAGCGCTCAGGATCCCAGACTCACATGGACGCAGTCCCCAAAACCACCAGTTTTAAGGGAGGGGCTGGGTCCTTGGCAACAGAGGACCCCAATTTGGGGTCAAAATTCCTCCTAGCAGGGGTCCTTGATCCCAAATGCCTTAATTTACTCATCTATGAAATAGACGCAGACTCCCATTCCCCAGGGACTGGATGAAAGAGACGAAAGAGCACAGTGATCAATGTGGGGGTCTGGATTGGGGCAGCCTGCGCTTGAATCCCAGCTCTGCTGCTGCCCAGCTGCGACACCGCTTGCATCTCAGTTTCCCCGTGTGTAAAATGAGTGTGATATTAACGGTGCCTGACTTCTGGGAGTGCGGTGCAGATGGTATGAGATAATCCGTGCAGAGTGCCCAACACATAACGAGTAGTCAGTTAAACTCTAGTAATTACTGATGGTATTCAGGACCAAAAAGAGACACACGACTGTTTGAGCTGCTTCCAAAGGAGGCTGCTCTGCTCCTCCAAGAGGAGAACACCCTGTCACTGTCCGATTCATGGCTCAGGTCTCCACTGCAGATGGGGAAACTGTGGCCAGAAGGGGGGCCATGCCAGGAAGTGGGAGAAAGGGAGTGAGGAAGAGGATGGAGTGAAGGGGGTCCTGGGAACAGACATTGCCCCTACATGACTCCCCCGAGGACCCCTGCACTAGGAAGTCACATTTCCTGTGGAAGGTCCAGGCCCCATCCACGCTGGGCCTTCCACATCCATTACTTCATTTCTCACAATAGCCCTGAAAGAGAGGCATTACTGTCCCCATTTTGTAGATGGGGACACTGAGGTTCAGAGGTGGGGAGTGATCTGCCCAGGGTCACATAGTGGATCAGTAGCAGAGGGAGGACTGGAACGCCACCTGTCTGACTTGTAAGTCAGGGTTCTAAGGACCTGCCCAGCCCTCCCAGAGCTGTGTCCCCCGCCCCCCCTTAGCTTCTCTCCTACCTTGAGGCTGACATGGCTGGTGCTGCCCTGGCCCTGAGCCAGGTCAGGGCAGCTCTGGCCACTCCAAGGCCTGGGAAGGAAGCACAGGGGGAAGAGAATGAAGTAGCCTTCTCCTGTCTCAACACCATCACCCCCACACCGAACCCAGCGGCCCTCTCCCCCTGCCTTCTCTCGGGGCCCATAGCCTAGCAGGACGAGCTCCTAAAACATTTCCGTGGAAGGCCTATGTGTCAGCCTCCTCTCTGCTCCCACTCCCAGCTGTCTGCTCCATCCCCAGAGGCAAAGAAAGAATGGGCTTGAATCAAAAATGGGGACCAGCTCTGTATCTCGGCTAGAATACAGGGAAAGGATAGTGCTCTGATAATTCAGAAGCTCGCCACTTGCCCAGGCCCTCCCGTGTGCCAGACTTTGCACTAAGTATTGTGCCTGCATGAACTCCTTTAAGCCTCACAATAATCCTAGAAGGTGGCTGTTAGTGTCCCCATTTTTCAGATAAGGAAACTGAGGCCCAGAGAGGCAAAGTGACTTGCTCAGAGTCACACAGCTAATGGGCCTTGGAGTTAGAATTCCTGGAGTTAGGACTCGCACTCCAGAGGTTGCCTAGACATCATGGCAATAATGGGGGAAAGATGGGGAAATGCCTTGGCTCCTCTTCCATGCCCTCGAGGCCCCCACCCCAGCAATCAGAGGCCTGTGCCTCAGCACTGGGGTCCCATTCCTACAGCTGGTGAGAACTGAGTGCAAGTGCACGCATGGCATGTGTCATCACGCCAGCCCTGCCAGGAGCCTGTACAGCCCCCCTCTGCCCTCCCCACCCGTGACTCACTTGTACCTCCAACCCCACCTCCTCCTCTCCTAGTGCCGCCTGGGCCTATAGGGCAGGTTTCTGCCAGACAGGGTAAAGGGAGAGGGCGTGCCTTCCAGGCGGGGGCGGGCAGGGCACTGGCAGGGTGTGGGAACCCCAGGGCACTGGGGCTGCCAGGCTTAGGGTGGCTAGGCCCTCCCCTCCCCTCTCTTTAGGGTGAGAGAGCAGTACAAATTCCTCCCCTCTTTCTGCCCCCACCAGGCCCCCCACCCCTCCTGGGTGGCTGAAGACAGCTGTGCCACGATAAGATCAGAACAAATTGCCCAGTAACTGCGCAGACACACAAACACCATGCCTGCGAGCACACCCACGCTCTTCCGGGACACAGGGCCTGTGAGCTCCTTCCAGCTCGGCCATCCACAGGGCGTTTTTCCTTCCACTCCTCCATCAGCTACCCCGGCATGGGCTTGGAAGGTGAAGCAATATGCTCAAGATCACAAGACCAGCGGCACCTAGGGTTAGGAGCTGGCTGCGCCTGCATGCAGTCTGGCAGTCTCTGAAGGCAACAGAACTTCAGGACATCGGCTCCGGAAGAGTCCGACTGCCTAAGCCTGTATCCTGGCTCCACCACTTCCCAGCTGTGTGGCTTAGGGTAGGTGACCTCACCTCTCTGAACCTCTATTTCCGTATCTGAATCACGCGGAATACCTGTTTCATGGGGCTGCTGTGAGGATTACATGAGCTATTCCAGGTAAAGCACGAAGCAAGCAGCAAATAAAGGCTGATTGTTGTTACAATCTAGAGCGATCTCCAGGCGGAGCGATGACGGGGAAAACATCTAAGGGCAAATGCGGTGCCGCCTAAGACGACTCTGGAACCTTTCATACTCATGGCAAAGGGACATGAAGACATTGGCCTGTGATGTGAGAATCAAAGTCCACAGGGGAGGGAGGAACTACTACATTTGCCTTTAAACTTTGTCTGGGGAGGAAATTATTGTCTGTAGGCCGCCTGCCTGACTTAGGAAATTGTAAATGTTTTAAAGTTATGAAAGAGCACAAGGGACCGTTCCACATTCACACCCCAAATCGTGGCACACTGACACATATTCTTATGCTTTCAGATACCCATACCCGCTTATTTGATCCATCTCTACACTCTAGCGCGCACGCACATACACACAACCCCTAGGGCCCAGGGGCGCCCCACCCGGCCTTTCTCCATCTCCCCTCACCTATCCCCGGATGTGGCCTCCTCCGAGGTCTCCTTCCCCCTGCGCTCCCTCCGGACCCCTAGTCCGGCCAAGAGGCGGACCAGGCGGGTCCCCAGACCCCCACGCCGTTCGGCCATGGCAAGGGCAAGGCCCGGGACTTGAGCCGTCTGGACACCTGACCACCCGGATCCGCTGCATTTGCGGAGAAACGCCTCCTCCGGCCGCGCCACTGAGCAAACAGCCGCCCCACCCGCAGCCCTCGCGGGCGGGGATCAGACGCAGAAGCTGCCGGTGCCCTGGGTCAGGCGCGCGCCCTGGAGGACACCGCCCCCACCCCGGACCACAGCCCCTAGACCCTCCGCCTGAGCCCACGCCCCACGCCTGCTCTCCGCCCTGGCCGTGCTACTTTTTCAGGCCCCAGGAGGAGGCAGGTGCCGACTGGGGCGCCAGCCCGGGAGCTGCACCTGCACTAGGCGGGCTGGGAAACGGGCCTGGGGCGAGCAGGGCCGGGAGGCGGGGCCGAGCGAAGGGGCGCCGCCCACGAGCAGGCGAGGCTAGAACATGGGGGCGGGGCCAAGGGCCGGGGCGGGCGTGGTCTCGCCAATTGGGCGGGGCCTAACGCGAGAGGTTGGCGTCCGGCGCGAGGCCCAAGGTGTTACTGAGGTGGGCTTGGAACGCGTGGGGCCGGAGCCGGCCCTGCCCTTGCCCTGCCATGCTGGATTCCCTATGAGACAGCTACGACGCAGAGCGGGAATCCGGTTCAGCGCCGCGGTGGGGAAGCAGCTCTGAGTCCCCACGGGGGTGCGCGGACGCTGCCCCTGCTGAAGTCTGCCCGGGAGCCCCACTTGGTCTGAAAATCACTGCCTTACTTAATAATAGCTATCATTTATTGTGATCACAGCCTGGGCCCTGCCTGCCAGGCATAGCCATTTCAGCCTGACTCTCTGACGCAGGAGTGGGGATGGGGATCAACTCGCGCGTTTTAGGGGGTCTCCCTGCCTGCAGGGAGAAAGGCCCTCAGGAGGGTGCCCACTCTTCAGTTTCTTTGCAGTTCTCCTCTGCCTGTACCCCTTTCCCCAAGCGTGGCACCCCGTTAGCCCTTTGCCCTCTGTGGTGACTGGTCTTGGCACACGGATGACTTCGTGCTGCTGGTCATGAGTGGACGCTGACACCTTGTGTCTCCTTCCTCGCTACACCCACAAGAAACACCACCTCCCACCCCAGCCGTGCAGGGAGTGTGGATGAGGGGTATTGTGGCCACCAAAGAAGCGTGAGACCAGAAGGTGGTGGGAGGCAGCAGATACACCTGGACAGGTGTTGGAAAAGCCGTTGGAAACAGGGCAATGTGCCCATGCAGGGCAGCACAGTCTGCACCGCACAGAGTCCTGGGGGGCTGGACTGTCCAACAGTGAGTTGAGATGGAGGCCTGGTCCCAGATAAGTCCTCCAGACAGGGAGTGAAACCCACACGCAGCCGCAGCCGGAGGTAGATGGCTGCAGGCACCCACCCCAGGCACTGTCAGCTCAGGCTCTTTCCCCCTCCATTTGTGTCCCCTGACCTGCTCCCACATGGAATGTGGGGTCTGGCAAACACATGGTGGCTTTCCCCTCCACTGTTGAAGTTTAGGAGGCCTCAACTCATTAGAGAAAAAAATCCTTTAATTATTCTCCCCGCCCCCCTCCCCCGGGCAGTCCTGGCACCACCACTCAGGCTGGCTGCTCTTGATTTCCCTGGGATGTCAAGGACACCTTGACCCTGCCCACGTCCCAGCCCATCTCTTTCTCTGATGGCACCACTACAAGATCTAGTGCTCCCTGGTGCCATGGGGCAGGGTAGGCCAGAGGGGCCAGGGGCAGATGGGTGTGAGCCAGGCCCCAGGGCCTTGGGGCGTGCAGCCGATGGTGCAGCTTCAGGTGGACGTGCTGGGAGAAGCGGCTCAGGCAGACGCTGCACTGGAAGGGCCGGGCCTCCGAGTGCAGGCGCAGGTGGGTCTTGAGGTTGCTGGAGCTGCTGAAGCACTTGTGGCATGTCTGATGGGAACGCTGGCATCAGCTTTGCCCCTGGGGACTCAGGAGTTCTGTGTCCCCTCCCCATTTGGGAAACACTCCCCAACATGACCCCTTCCCTGTCCATGCAGGCCCAGAAGCTTTTCCTGATGATTTCTCCCTGGAACCCACAGTGACTGCATATCAGAGCCAGGCAGACTTGGGTTAATGTCCTGCTACTCTGTGTGTGAGCTTAGATAAGTAACCTCTCTGAGCCTTCTTCTCCTCATTGGTAACATATGACTATTAATACCTAGCCTCATAGGTATGGGAGGCTGAACTAGATAATCACATAGAGCCCTCATGTGTGAGGCTTGCAGCTTCAGTGGATGTAACGAACATTGACTGGTGGCTGCCACATGCCAGGAATTGGTTTCATGTAGTCTTCCCCAGAGAAAGCATGACCAAGTACTAGTACAATTCTTGAATTATAGTGAGAAAGCAGAGGCTCAGAGGAGTGAAACCATTAGCCAAAGGTCACACAGCAAGTTGGAGGCAGGGCTAGGATTTGAACACAGGTAGCTTGACTCTGTAGCCCAGACTCAGCCACTACACTGCTTTCATTCTGCCCTTGTAAAATCGGGAAAGAATCCCTGCTCTTCTAACCTCCCAAGGGATATGGTTGGGCTCACAGGAGGAGGGAGCTAACATTGGTCTAATGGTTTTCCTACTCAGATACTTGCATACACTATGGCATTGACTCCCCTGGCAACCCTGGGAGGTGGGTAATGGGTATCCACTCTCCAGGACCCCCGACTTTATTATTCTGCCCCCACAGATATATGTCTCTATTCCTCCCCAGGCCCTGGCAGTGACCTCCAACATCACTCATTCTAGGCTGAAAGGGATCATTTTCACATACACTGGACTCTGTGCCCTCCCTTTCCTGTTTCCTGTCTTCCTTCGCTCAGAAGGACTGGGGAATGGAGGCTGCAGGTGCCATTCCCCCAGGGGCCTAGAACTCCTCACCAGCCTGCAGGAGTACCAGGGAGGGGGAGGAGGATCTCACCGGGCATTTGTGGGGCCGCTCCCCAGTGTGCACCAGGTGGTGCTTCTGCAGGTGGGCAAGCTGGGTGAAGCTCTTCTGGCACAAGGTACACTGGAATGGGCGCTCCCCACTGTGCACACGCAGGTGGACCTGAACCAGGTGTGGGAGAAATGCTGCCAACTACCCAGAGCACCCAGCAGGGCCTGGGGTCCCCTCCGAATCTCTGCCCCCATCCCTGCAGGACCCCTTGTTTGTATCCAGGCCTCTCAGTCCCCTGCCTCTCTGTCACCTCCCTCTGGGCCTACCACCCCCAGGATACTCCTCTTTCTGGTGCCCTGCAGGGTAGAGAGCAGGATCCCAAGGCCTGGTAAGGAGTAACCCTGGTATACCCTGGAGCAGTGCTATTCAAAGCGTGGTCCACAGGAGCAGCACTGGTATGTCACCTTGGGGGCATGTTAGAAATGCAGATTCTCAGCCCCTCCCCGCCTTGACCCCCCCACCTGCGGAATAAAAAACTCTGGGTTGGGGCCTAGGAATCTGTGTGTTTTATAGCTCTCCAGCTTGGTTTGAGGCTTATTAAAGTTTAAGAACTCCTGCCCCACTGGACACAGTAGGGCTGTCCTCCAGTAACCATAACGCTTCCTCAACCCCAGCGCGAGCCCACTTGTGCAGAGCTTCCTGTCCGTGCTGACACACAGCGATGCGCCCGCGGGCGCCCCCTGCTGGGAGATGCGGTCGATGAGGCCAACAGCGCCGGCGCTGGTTTGTGGGATCCCACTTGAAAAAAGCTGGTTGACAGGGTGTGATCTAGACTCACCAAAATCTACCCATTCTCCCATCAGGCCATCAAAAAAATAAAGAAGAGGCTTTACTGGGAATACAAAAGGATGGTTGTCCTGGAAAGGGCTTTGCACTAGAGGTTGAGAGACAGATCAAAGCCTGACACCATCATTAAGTCAAAGTAACCTTGGGTAAATGCCCATTAGGAGCCTCAGTTTCCCCATTTTTAACTTAGATGATCTCATAGACAGTCTTCTAGGGTAATAAGGACTTTGATGCCATCTTAGCCTGTTTCTTCACCCAAATGAGCCAGGCTGCCCAGGGGCCCTTCTAGCTTTGAGGTCCTTGCATCTAGAAGCAGGCGGCAGGGGTGGGGGGAGTGTCACTGAAGGAGGCTGAGGGGAGCAGCAGAGCCCAGGAGGCAGGTACCTTGAGATTGGAGAGCTGCCCGAAGCTCTTGCTGCACACGTTGCACTTGTACAGGATCTTGCCATTCTCTTTCTTCAGCGGGTAGGGCAGTGCTGCTGTGCCTGTCTGGGAGCCCAGTGGGGCCCGCTTTGCTGGGGCCACCACGCCAGCACACTCCAGCCCTGGGGAGTAGCTTGGAGCAGCTCCAGGGCCTGGATTCTGGGCCTGTGAAGGTGGGGCTTGGCCAGAGGCTTGGCAGGCCCCTGGGTAGGGAAGCAGAGTGTCTGTAGGGGCACTGGGGTGCCTGGGCTTATTGACTGTCATCAGCAAGCTGGGCACAGCCATGGTGGGGCAGGAGGTGTCTTGGGGTAGCATGAAGAGGTGGGGACGTTGGACAGAAGGTAGGGCCCCATAGGTGAACAGGTAGCGTGGAGGCAGGAGAAGTGAGTGCCCAGGGTAGAAGGGGTAGAAGTGGAACGGGACCACCTTGGAGATGGGGGCAGGAGGGGGGCAGGGGCAGAAAGCCAAGGGGCTAGGGCTCTTTCTGTTCTGCCAGGAGGGTGGGGAAGAGCTGCTGTGAGGAGAGAAGGCTGGGCTGAGGGTCCCTTTGTCAGCTCTTTCAGGCTGGCTTCCCATCTTGTCCCTGTATGGTGGGTACTTGGCTGTGAGTTTCTCGTCATTGGTGGAGCTGGCATGCAGCCCTGGTGGCTGGTGCTCTGAGCAGGAAAAGGAAGAAGGTCAGGACCCCACAGCCTGGGGTAAAGTTGTATTCCCTATCAAGCCTGCCCAGCTCGGGGTTGGGAAAGCTCCATCCTGCAAGTCTGCTGGGCAACTTGGGCAAGCTGCCTCCCCTCTCTGGGCTTCAGTTTCCTGGTCTGCAGGTGAACTTACCAATGAAAGCTGCTAGGATTTCTTAGTGCTCAACAATTTCAGGGGGGGCAAACAGTTCAAGATGCCTATTAGACATCCAGGTGGAAAAGTCAAGTGGATAGATGGATAAATTGGATTGGAGTTTAAAGGAGATATCTGAGCTGGAGACAGAAATTTGGGTGCCGTGGGCCCAGATGAGATCACATAAGGGTGATCACAGCTGGATCAGCTGTGGCAGCTGCTGCACATGTGACTACATTTACATTAATTAAAATAAGTATAATAAAATATGTAGGCTGGGCACGGTGGCTCATACCTTTAACCCTAGTGCTTTGGGAGGCTGAGGCGGGAGGATCACTTGAGTCCAGGCGGTCCAGACCAGACTGGGCAATATAGCGAGATCCCATCTCTACAAAAATTTTAAAAATTAGCCAGGCATGGGTGTATGCCTCTAGTCCCAGCCACTCTGAAGGCTGAGGAAGGAAGATTGCTTGAGCCCAGGAGTTTAAGGCTGCAGTGAGCCATGATTGCATCACTGCACTCTAGCCTGGGATGACAGAGCAAGACTCTATCTTTAAAAAAAAAATTAAATTCCTTAGTCACACTAGCCACATCTAAAGTGCTCAATAGCTATAGTATTGGACAGCACAGATATGGAACATTCCCATTATGGCAAGAAATTCCATCAAACAGCGCATTTGTAGATGAAGAGAACGGGAGGAAAAGAGGGAAAAAGAGGAGAGGGGAAGAGAAAAGGAAGGAAGAGAAAACAAGAAGAGGGGAGGGCACAGGAGGGTAGAGGGCTCTGGGCTGAGCTCTGAGGCATGAAAATATTTAGGAGGTAAGAGAAGAGGAGCTAGCCAGGGAAACTGGGGTACAACAGCAGTGAGGTAGGAGTAAAGCTAGCAGCTATAACAAGTAAAATACTTAAAAAAAAAAAAAAACTATTCAAAAGTAGATTGTTGGCCGGGCGCGGTGGCTCACGCCTGTAATCCTAGCTCTCTGGGAGGCCGAGGCGGGTGGATCGTTTGAGCTCAGAAGTTCAAGACCAGCCTGAGCAAGAGCGAGACCCTGTCTCTACTAAAAATAAAAATAAAAAATTAATTGGCCAACTGAAAATGGAAAAAAAAATAAAGGAATAAGAAAAAATTTAAAAAAAAAGTAGATTATCTGCTTGAGCCTCATTTATGCACTCACTCAACTCTACTGAGTTGTTTCACCCTGTGCTCTGTGCTGGGGTCCCAGAAATGAAGGACACAGCAGGGTAGTCCTTGCCCTCCAGGGAGTCACAGTTGCTTAAGGAAATGGTGTATTACACTATTGCAATGCAACACACCTAGAACATAGGTATAGATGAGATATTGTGTCTATGGATGAAGAAAGTAGGCCTGAGGGACGTGCCCAACGTCATAGAGCTAGTAAGGGCAGAACCAGGACTCCAACCCCAGATCCCTGACTCCCAGTCCAGTGCTCTTATCTTAAAAGAAAGATCCCACTAGCTCAGACATTGTAGGCAGACAGAGCACCATCTCCACCCACGTGTCTTGGGCTAGGCCTACTCCAGCTCCCAGACACGTGCCTGAGAAAGCCACTGCCCTCCTCCTCCTCGTCTGGCTCAGGTGTCACCACCGGGTAGCCCCTTGGCACCCTCAGGCCAAAACTCCAAGGCCAAAATGTGGAAATAAAGTGTGCCTGAGGCTCTGTCATCACCAGGGACACCCTGTCCCCTCCACCTCCCATCTTCAAACCTAGCAGCACCCCCGCCTCCAGCCTCCACCAAGGTGCAGGTGCAGCGCCGTGCCCTGGCCTTACTCATGCTTAAGGCGTCCTCTCTGAGACCCTGCGGGGCTGTGCCCAGGGCTGCCGGCTGCAGGGCACACAGGTATAGGTCCAGGCCCTGGGGGCAGGCCAGCAGGGAAGACCTGGCCGGTGTCAGCGGCACAGGGCACAGCCAGCTGGCACAGGACGGGCCATGAGCATCCACTGTGTCTGGAGGTGGCCTGCAGGCTGAGAAGACCTGGAGGGCAGGGGGCAAGGGGCTTGGGGGCTGGTGGCTGGGACTCCATGGGTCCTTTGGATGCCACCACCCCTAGAGTGGTTTCCAAAGGGAACAAGAAGCTAAGACACTCTCCCCTCCTATCTGTTACTCAAATGGCTTCCCCCTCCCTCATCCAAAGATGTCTTTCCCCCAGGCCTTCCCCCCCACCAGGATTGCCCTCCCCCACCCCCTAGAACCCTATCTAGCCCTGTTCTCCCCACCCCACCCCGACCACCCTGGTCCCCAGTGTGTCTCAGACCACCCACTGTGTTTTGCATGGAGCCAGGGGACACCTGGGGAAAACACCCATCCAAGACTGTCAACCCCACAGGGTGGCCCTGAGCCCCCTCGCTGAGACCCAAGGCCATGGTCATACAGCCTTCTGCATGGGCTTCCCCAGCTCTCCCCCACAGGAGAGTCTGGAACCCAGGCATGGGGAGAAGGTCTCTGGCCCCTCAAGGCCACATCCCCATGATGGGCCTGGGGCAGGAGGTGCTCAGGCCCAGGGAGGACGGGGATCTAGGCCCTTCAGACATCCCCCACTTCCTCCTAATGTCACCTCCTACCATAAGCAGACTACCCACAATGATAAGGCTGGGACCCCACCTTACCTGGTTACCCTGGCAGAGCTGGAAGTCCAGGCTTGAGGACAGAGAGTCCCCCATCCCCCCCAAGGCCTTGGTCTTGTGGCAATAACCCAATTGAGCAGCTGGTTCTCCCTTCATATCCCCTCTACCTGCTGGGAAGACAGGTGAGTCACAGGTAAGCTGTGAAAGTCCTCCAAATAGGAGTCTGGGTTCTAGGACTGGCTCTCCCACTAATGTGCTGTGCGACCACAAGCCATTCACTTCCCCTGGCCTCAGTTTCCCTATCTGCAAAATGGGAGTGCTGGACTGGTGGCTGTGCAGGGACTGGTTTAGTGCTGACATGTGGAAGCCAATGATGCTCTCCTGATGGGTGTAGGAATGAGATGGAGACCAACCAATCAGGGGAGGAGCAGCGCTGTACTGAGAGGAGAGAGGAGGGTCCTCATGGAGGTTACTTTCAAGTGAGCTCAGAGATCTGAAGGAACATTCCAGATTCCTCAGGGTCACCAAGAACTGAGAGGCCACCCCTTCTGTGCTGTGAGATGTCCCTGCCTCTACCAACCAGAGGCTCCCCACCAAGGGGAGTCCCGCATCCCGGCTCACCCAGACAGCTCCTCTGGGCAGCTGAGGACACTCTTGTCACCCAGACTGCCCAGGCTCCACGCCTTTGCCATGGACAAAGCCTGAGAGAGTGAGCCAACAGTCCCCACGTGCCCTGACTGGCTCGACGGGAGGATGCCCTGAGAGCTCAGCTGTCTCTCACTCAGCACCTTGCTCCTTTGCCATCCTTCACCTGAGGCCACACAGCACAGGGATCACCTAAGCCGGGCAAATGTCCCAAGGCCCCTTCCTTGTCCCCTCAGTGACCTCCCTTCCCTCCTTAACCCCAAATGCCCTCAGACTCTAAAATCTGCCCCCCAGTGTCTCAGCCCTCCAAACCCTTCTCCCTTCCCTCTCTCCTGACTCCTCCCAACCCCGTCTCAGGTCTCAAAACAAATACCAAGGCCCTGAGGGCCGTTGCTGTGGGCTCTCCCGGCTCTGCAGCAGTGCTCCGGCGGGGGAAGGAAGCAGGGTGGGCAGGCGGGCAGCAGCTGCCTGTGGCTGAGGTCCCATGGGTGTGAGAGATGACAGGAAGGTGCTACATTTGAAGTTGCCACAAATAGGAAGAGGGGGGCTAGCCGGCAGGCCTGGGAGCTCTGCAAAACGTGACAAGGGGGAGCCCTCCCCCAGCCCTAGCCCCTGCAGCAACTCTGTAGGCCACTCATGGGTTTGGATCTCAGTGAACTGGGGCTGCTGCAATTTCGGGACGTGTGTGTATTAGGCGTGGGAAGGGTGTTACCTCTGATCTCAGAGAACCCAGAAGGCTGAGCAGGAGAGGGACAGAGTGGGGCTCAAAGGCTGGAGGTGGGGTCCTTCCGGGGATAGGGGCAGAGCTGAGATGGAGACAGGCATTGATGATGATGGCAAAGATGGTGTTGGTGACAGGCAGGGACAGGAACAGGCAGAGATGGTGACAGAAGAGGCAGAGATGGTTGCAGAAACAGGAACAGGCAGAGACAAGAACAGGAACATACATAGAAGGATATGGAATGAGGCAAGTGGTCTCCCAGAGCAGCAAGCACGCCTTCCTCCTCCTGGTCCTGTCTCGGATCTCTTGAGCCTGAGCAAGTCTATCCTCTGATCCGGATGGAAAGCTGAGGCCCCAAGAGGGCAAGAGATTACTCAAGAATGCAGCAGAATGGGTGTAAAGCATGACTAGATACGAAAGGGAGGCCTCGTCAGCCAGGTTGCAGCTTTTTAGCCCGAGCAATTTCATTATTCCTGTGAGCATGACAAGGTGTGTCACGCCCAGCCTCACACAAATTCTAGTGTGTCCAAGTCTGGCTCAGGGGGACACAGCCCCACCCAGTCATCAGTTTCCACCCCAGCCATGCCACCCAGGTAGCCAGGAGCACACAGGGCCGTCTCAGACTGTCCACCGTGGGGGTGGAGGGCCTGTTGCTGGCGTTCCTTTGCCAGCTCAGCCACTTACGTCTGCAGCTGCCTCCATCCCTTCCCACCACAAGTGTCTGCCTATGTGTCTGTGAGCAACTCAAGCACAGGGACCACTGTCAAAGCATTTTTGTTTCCCGTGTAGACACGTGTTAGCTTTTTGGATGAATGGCGTCTGAAACTTTTCCCCCACATTAGTCTTGAGGAATCAAAAGGCATCTCCCACTACAAAAGCCAGAGTGGTTTCCAGCCCCCTCCCCAGTACCAATGCTGGCACACGTGGACTGGGGCAATCAGATGCCCCCACCCAAATGTGGATCAGAAGCCAGTAGCCCTGAGGTGGCAGGTCAGTGGACACACCACACTGCCAATGCTGTGGTGCCACGTCCAGCTTCCCAGGCAGCAGAGGAAAGAGAGGGGCTCAGAGAAGGCCACAGAGTCCTTGCTGGGCTGGTCCTGGGGCGTGATATTAGGCTGTGGTCCTGCCTCCTTCCAGCCTTGCTGGATCCGCCCTATTCTCCAAGCCTGGCCCTCCAGCCTTCTGTGAGCTTTCCTATCATCTTTTAAATAAATTCCTTTTCTGCTTAAACCCCCCTGAAATGGTTTCTGTAGCTTACAACCAAGGATCCTGCATTACGCGTGCCCAGAACAGAAGATGAAGCTACAGGGCTCAGGCTGGAATATTTCAAGGATCAGAGTGAAGAGCCACCCTTACAGACGGCTCATACCACCTGCCTGGCACTGTGCGTTATCACATTCAGTCTTCACTATATGCCTGTGTGGTTGCTTTTATTATTCCCATGATCAACAGAAGCTCAGAGAGAGTAAGCAGCTCACCCGGAGCCACAGAGCAAGTAGCCAAGAGCGCTCTAATGCCAAAGCTCGGACTCTGCCGTCATCTCATGGCAATGTCAGCACCCGCACCACCACGCCCACCCCTCATTTCCGCCTCTTATCCTCTCTTCTGGCATGCTGTTCCCACCCTCTCCAGCCTTGTCCTCTTCCCCAGTGGCCCTTGCAGTGTCCTTAGGGTTAAAGGAGGAGTTTCTCCCACGGTGCCACTTGCAGTCTTGGTTCGCCAAAACTCCACTCTCCAAAAGCTAGAGCCCTCCACCCCAGACTCCCAGCCTGTAAGCCTGTCTCCCCTCCAGTCTTGCTGGGAATCCAGCGAAGTGCGGGTCACTGGGCTCTGAAGGAAGATCCCCCATGTCCGAGACAGACCCACACGCCTTTGCCTTCCATCTGCAGCACCGCCCCCTCCTGACATCACACCTGCGCCCAACCCTCCAAACAGGCTGCATAACCTCTTGGTTAGAACCAAAAAGGGAAATAGTCTCGGTGGTTTCCAGGTCTCCAATCCTGAAAGTCCTCTGGCTTGGCTCAGAAATGACCCAGGAGGTGGGCTGAAGACACACTCCCTCAAGTTCCCACCCGGAACAGCCTCTACCTGCCAAGCCCTTCCTTGCTTCCATCTTCTGGTCCCGGCCAGATCCTCTGTCTTGTCAGCCTCCATGATTTGTGATGTCACAGGCCTAACTGTGATGTCACTTTGTCCCAACATTCAGGGAGGTAGCACCGAGGTAGGTAGGGCCATGGCCTTCTAAGAGAGGAGCCTGGGCACATGCCCAGACCCAAACAAGAGACTGTGGCTGAGGAAAGTCATGGGTGACCAGAATGGGCTCAGGAAGTACCTGTGGGGGAAAGCAGGGTGGAGCTGCCTCCAGGGCTGGGGGGACATTAGAGAGGCCTCAGAGAGGAGGTCACTCTGGAGTAGGGGACAAGAGCTGGAGGGTGTTGCGTCCTCAGGCTTCTGGTGCTCACTGCACACTTAATTTCTTCTTCCTTTTGTTAGCTGCAAAATAATAGCTACTACGGGTAACATTTCGAACAGCAGAGAATACAGAAAGAATGAAAGCTCCTCCTCCTTCACAATTTCCCCGTGGTCAATGGGAACTCTTGAGTGTTTATCCTTCCAGACATTTTTCTATGAACCAACAAACAGGTAAATGAAGTTTTAAAATTTTATGTATACAATCTATACAATCATAAGAATATCCAATACATGTTGCTCTGCTGGGTTTCCCATCCAATGATCTGTTATGGCCATCAGTTCATGCCATGAACATACATATCTGGCTCCTGCTTTTCCCTGGCTATGTTGTGTTCATTGCAGGGTGGAACATAATATGCAGCGTTTTCCTGTTGGTGGACACATGGGTGGGCTCCAGTTTTCCCGTTTACCATACAAAGCTAGAAAGGACTTCCGTAGAGAGTCAACACACAGAGTGGTTAAGAATATGAGTTCAGGCCGGGCGAGCTGGCTCACACCTGGAATCCCAGCACTTTGGAAGGCTGTGCAACACAGTGAGACTCTGTCTCTACAACAAATAGAAGAATTAGCAAGGCGTACTGGCACATGCCTGTAGTCCCAGCTACTTGGGAGGGTGAGGCAGGAGGATCACTAGAGCCCAGTTTGAGGTTGCAGTGAACTATGACGATGCCACTGTGCTCTAGCCTGGGCAACAGAGACTGTCTCACATACACACACACACACACACACACAACACACACACAAGTATTAGCTTTGTTGAGTTTAATCCCAGCTGGGTGAATTTATAGCAAGTCACTTAACCTCTCTGTGCTTCTTTTTTTTTTTTTTTTTGAGACAGAGTCTCACTCTGTTGCCCAGGCTAGAGTGCCATGGTGTCAGCCTGGCTCATAGCAACCTTAAACACCTGGGCTCAAGCTATCCTCCTGCCTCAGCCTCCTGAGTAGCTGGGACTACAGGCATGTGCCACCATGCCCAGCTAATTTTTTCTATATATTTTTAGTTGGCCAATTTATTTCTTCCTATTTTTAGTAGAGACGGGGTCTCGCTCTTGCTCGGGCTGGTTTCAAACTCCTAACCTTGAGTGATCCTCCCGCCTCGGCCTCCCAAGGCAGTGCATTACAGCGTGAGCCACTATGCCGAGCCATTGTGCTTCTTTTCTCATCTGTCATCAAATGGGAATAATAATATTTCTTGCCTCATAGAGTTATTTCCAGGATTCCTCAAGATAATTCACATAAAACCTTTAGGACGGTGCCTGGCTTAAAGCAAGCACTTGATAAATGTGGGTGACTGTCGATATTATATGTCACCTATTGTCTAGTTACGCAAGTCAATTAGGCAAGTATCTGCAAGTCAGCTCCCAAAAGTGTGATACTGTGATGGTTATTCCTCGCTCACTTTGGAAGATCAGAACTTGGACAGCACACTTGCAGAGATCAACTACAATCAGTTTCATTGCTTTGTCCATTGACTCCTCCCTGGTAGAGGGGTCACTACTCTCATCCAAAAGTCTGGCCCCCACTCCCAGCCACACACCACAGTAATGTTAATGGTAGCTCATGAATAATGTGAGCCCTCACTGTGTGTCGGGAACCATGCAAAGCTCTTCAACGTGCTTTGTTTCACTCAATCGATCGGCACAATGGCCCTGCAAAACAGGCACCATTATTCCCATTTCACAGGCAAGAACACTGACAGGGAGGAAAGGGACTTATTCAAGATTGCATGACTCCAACTGGAACACATGGAAACAGAGAGCAGAAAGGTGGTTACCAGGGGCGAGGGGTTGGGGTGTGAGTGAGGGGAATGGGGAGATGGAGGCCAAAGGATACAGAGCTGCAGTTAGGTCGGATAAGTGAGTCTAGAGCTCTAACGCACAGCATGAGGACTATAGTTAATATTGTTTTGTATACTGGAAATTTGCTAAGAGATTAATTTTAGGTACTTTTACCAGAAATACACACACACACAAGGTAACTATATGGATATATTAACTTGTTTGATTGTAGTAGTCACTTCACTATGTATGTGTATATGAAAACACCATGACCTACACTTTAAATATATACAATTTAAAGAGAATCACATGACTCAAGTTGGTGCTGTGAAGTCCTAGAGGGGAAGGATCGCTCAGGGAGGAATTGCCTAGCCTTTGAAGAGGTGAAAGGGGCCACAGGAATCCCAGAAAAATCAAGATGGACAGAGACCCAAGTTAAGGATTGGGGAAATGAGGTACAGAATTAGCATCTGGCACCCCACAGGTAATTGTCACTCATTCATTCACTCCTTCATTCATTCACATATTTACTGATTGCCAACTATGTATCGGGCATCAAACTAGTTTCTGGGACTCCAGCCCATAGGAATATGACCCAGCCCTTGAAGTTTCGAGTCTGGCTATCAGAAACCTTACTGGATGTTGCTGAAATAGAAAGTGATGTACACACAGTAGAGCTTACTATTAGAAGGCTGGGGTTGGGGGAGCGCAGTAGGACTGGGGCTATGGGTTGGGCTGGCTCGTGCAATAAGAAAGGGAGGCAATGGAACCACAGCCAGAAGCCCCACTTCCTCCCTGAGAACCTCAAAAATGTCTTCATCTTATAACCATCGCCACCTCTAACCTTGAGGCCAGCCAGCTGACTTGTCAGCCTGCTCAGTGCATGAGTCCAGGAGCTCTGTCACGTGGACACTTTTGAAGGGTACCAAGTAAGTACTCCAGGTCAAGAGGGCGTCTGGGACCATCATTGGCTCAGAGGGTTAAGGACAGGGCTGAGGGTGGGGTTGAGGCTGCTGTCACCTGGCTCTTCTCTGTGGTTGACACCTCCCTCCCTCTGCCTGACACCCACTTGCTTATCTCCCCGGACAGCCCAGCTGTCAGTCTGTCAGATGCATATGAGTTGGCACTTGGCTTCACACCCCAGAGTGAGGAAGAGATCTTGAGATAGGGCATGCCAGCTCTCACATTTGCAGAAGGGGCCTGGAGACTCTTGCATCTTCTCCTGCACCCACCTGTGACCTTCCAATTCTTCTGTGTGCAAAACTGCAGATATATCTTCCAATGACATGTGAGGTTATCCTACCCACCCTCTCATCTCAACCATTCCAAGAGGATAGGAGATAAGCAGAGGTCACACTGCTGGGATTCGAGTCCAGCAGACCTAATATACCCTTAATCACTATGCAAAAATCCCTATCATGTACATGCATATCCTTTCCAGCTTGGTGTGAAACAGGGGAAAATTGAGGTCCATATATACGTCCACCATTGATGGAATGCTGCATATTATGTACCTCCATGCACCATAATACTGTGCAGCCAGGAAAAGGCAAGAGGTAAATTTTTTTTTTTAATATTTTTCTACAGAAGTGTGATTGAGTAGCAAGAGGTAAATTTATTCAATGACTTCTGTATGCCAAACTTCTCTATAATCATCTCAGTTAATCTTCCTCAAAATTCTCCAAGGTAAGAATTATGAATGTCTCTATTTTACAGACGAGCAAACAAAGATGCAGCAAGGGCAAACCACGTAGCACCAATTCCAATGCCTACAGTGGCCATATAGCTGACATAAAGTGTCCCAAGAATAAGTATGATACAATTGGTACTCGACACTCCTTCTTGGTGTCAAGGATACAACAGGGAGGGATGGGGACTGCAGCAAACCAGAGAGTATGGGCCATTCTTAAAGGGCAGCCCCTATGCAGCACAAGCAGGGGCTGGTGTTGCCAGAGGTTCTGACTTTCCTAGAGAATTTGAAAATCAGGATTTTTATGTGAAATCTCTAATTTTTTTAAAAAAGCTTGTTCAAATGTCTTAAAATAATGTGCATGCGAATCAGAACAGGCCTAGTGCCAAATTCAGCAGCCTCTGCCCAAGGTCCCCAAGCCCAAGCCTTTTCCATGTTTCCAGCTGTTTCTAAAAGCTTGAGCCAGATGGTTTCTACTAAACATTTAAATAACTAATATCAATTCTTCACAAACTCATCCAAAAAATAGAAGAGGAGGGAACACTTCCCAACTCATTCTATGAGGCTGATATTACCCTGATTCCAAACACCAAAGACATCACAAGAAAACAATAGACTCTTGTGAATATAGATACAAAAATCCACATCAAAATATGAGCAAATAGGCTGGGCGCAGTGGCTCATGCCTGTAATCCTAGCACTCTAGGAGGCTGAGGCGGGTGGATTGCTGGAGGTCAGGAGTTCAAAACCAGCCTGAGCAAGAGCAAGACCCCGCCTCTACTATAAATAGAAAGAAATTAATTGGCCAACTAATATATATAGAAAAACTTAGCCGGGCATGGTGGCATATGCTTGTAGGCCCAGCTACTCGAGAGGCTGAGACAGAAGAAGCCTCCTGGGCTTCTTACTTGAGCCCAGGAGATTGAGGTTGCTATGAGCTAGGCTGACGCCATGGCACTCACTCTAGCCTGGGCAACAAAGCGAGACTCTGTCTCAAAAAACAACAACAAAATATGAGCAAATAGAATCCAGCAGCATATAAAAAGGATTTTACACCATGACCAAGTAGGATTTATTCCAGAAATGGTTTAATATGCAAAAATCAATTACTGTAATATATTATAGCAATAGGATAAAGGACAAACACCACATGATCATCTCAATAGATGGAGGAAAATTGTTTGACAAAATCCACTACTCTTTCATGAAAAAGAAACTAACCAAACTAGAGATAAGAAACCTCAACATGATAAAGGGCTTCTACAAAAAGCACATAGTTGAGATTACCCTTACAGTGAAAGTGTTTTCCCCCTCAGATCAGGAACAAGACAAAGATACCCACTTTCCCTGCTTCTACTCAACATTGTCCTAGAGGTTCTAGCCAGGGCAATTAGGCAAGAAAAAGAAATAAAAGGCATTCACATTGGATATTAAGAGATAAAACTAATGAGGCACAGTGCCTCACTCCTATAATCCTAGCACTCTGGGAGGCCTAGGCTGGCGAGGATCACTTGACCTCAAGAGTTCAAGATCAGCCTAAGCAAGAGCGGGACTCTGTCTCTACTAAAAATAGAAAAATTAGCTGGGCATCCTGGCTCACATCTGTAGTCCCAGCTCCTTGGGAGGTTGAGGCAGGAGGATTGCTTGAACCCAGAAGTTTTAGGTTGCAGTGAGCCATGATGATGCCACTGCATTCTACCTGGG